CTTTCAACCCTCCTGCCTCAGCCTCCCAGAGTGCTGGTATTATAGGCATGTGCCACCATGCCTAGCTGCTCTTTTTTTTTTAATGGTAGCAAAGTTTATTTGAAAAAGTAAAAGTGAAGTGTGAGGGAGAAACTGGCTCTGCAGAGCAAGTTTGGGCCAAGTAAAAGAGGAAAAAGGCAGATAAAAGTACACCCTGAAGGACACAGGGCAGACTGTCATGTGTCATTTTATGCTGTTCCAGGAAACTGACTAGAATTTTTACATAGGGGTCCGAAGAGGTGGTGCTGGGGTCCCAAGCCTCAGACTGATGTCAGGTGCAGGCCATCCTATTGAAAACCTGCTTGAGTTCTTGTGAGAAATCCACTGCAGGATTTTGGGAACTGTTCCTGTGTCCACAATCTTGTAATTAACAGACCTTTGGCTTTGTTATTCTTTTACTACATGTTCAAATGAGATATTGCATACTTTGGAATGTTTTGAGTTTTATAAACATACCATTTGTATTTTATAGGTTGTTTCCTACTTAACATAATTTGAGATTTATTCATGTCATTTTACTGATTTATTTTCATAACTGAATGATAGTTCATTGTACTAATAACACACTAGTGTTAATGAATTCATTTTCTAGTATTTTCCCATTGCAAGCAGTTCAGCTGTAACCATACTTATTTTTATTTATATTTTAATGAATTTAATAAAATTTCCCCTCATTATCCTTTTTTGGGGGGGCGGGGTTCCGGTACTGGGAATTGAACTCACAACCTTGTGCTTGCCAGGCAGGCTGAGCTAAATCCCCAGCCCCCTATCCTTTTTTCTTCTTTATGCAATACAGGGGATCAAACCTAGAGCCTCTTGCCTGCTAGCTAGGCACTCTACCACTGAGCTATACTCCCAGCTCCCTCCCACCCCATTTTTTGGTGCTAGGGGGTTGAACACAGGCCTTGAGCACACTTAGCATATGCTCTACCACTAAACTCCATTCCCAACCCCCTCATTAGCTTCTTTTTTTTTTTTTTTGAGACAGGATCTATGTAGCGCAGGCTGGCCTCAAACTCTCTTTTTTGAGGTAGGGGCTCCCCGTGTTGCCCAGGGTGGTCTTGGATTTCTAGGCTCAAGTGACTCTCCCACATCAGCCTTCTAGTGCAGGGATATAGGTGTCAGTGTGTTTAAACCACTTACTATTAATGTAACTGTTGTATGGTAAGTCCGCCATTTTTTTTGTATTTTGTTTTCTCTATATTTCATTTCCCGATTTTTTTCCCCTAAATTCCATGGGTTACTTGAATATTTTTTAGAATTCTATTTATGTATTTTATGTATTTGTGTGTGTGGTGTTTGTAGTAGTTGCTCAGGGTATGATGTTATATACATTATATAACATTACATTAGACTGCATATTAGACTGTAATATACATTACAGTCTATTAGTGTCATCATTTTACCACTGTGAATAAAGAGAAACCTTTCCTTCTTTTCCATCCCTTTGCACTCTTATTTCTTTTTCTTTTTTTTTTTTTTTTTTTTTTGTCTTTTTGAGACAGGGTCTCACTGTGCAGTTCAGGTCGGCCATGAGATCACTTTGTAGCCCAGGCTGGTCTCGAACTCACAACGATTCTCCTGCCTCAGCCTCCTGAGTACTGGGATTACAGGCATGCGCCACCACGCGCGGCCGACTCTATTTCTAATATTAATTTAAATATTTCCTCTGCGTACAATTTTTTTGGCAGTGCAGCAGGGAACTGAGATGACCAGTTGTTCATGGGGAATAAAAGGCCCTGAGGCAGCCGGAACCTCAGTATTTATTGTTCACGTTTGCATTGAGAATGGCGAGGGGATTATCGGATAACTGAGAGGGTGGTGGACATAAAAAAACACATCCAATGGTGTCATAATTCCATCTTCAGTCCTTAGACATAATTTAGAAAATCTAAGAGAAGGAAATCTATTTACTTGTATCTTGTTTTCTGTTCATGTTTCTTTGCAGTGTTTGAAGGTTTATTTATTGTTTCCTTTCTGTGTAGAGAACTTTCGAAGCTGTGCTTCAGTGCAGGTCTCCTGGTGAGAACGCTTCTGCATCTTCCTCCCTCTGAGGGTGTCGTGGCTTCGCAGTCCAGATAGCTGCTTTTCCTGGGTATAGGGTTCTTCGCTGACAGCTCTTCTTTTAACTCTCGAAAAACATTATGCCACTTTCTTCTGGTTTCTGGCATTTCTGATGAGAAATTTACTGTCGTTCAAATTGTTTTGCCTCTTTAAGATTTTCTTTTTTCCTCTGGCTGCTTTAAAGATTGTAAAAATTTCTCTGTAGTTAGCAGCAATTTATGATGTATCATGACGTGAACTTTGGGTTTTCTTCTGTTTGGAGTTTGCTTGGCCTCTTGGATTTGTAGACTTCTAGTTTTTGCCAAGTTTGGGAAGGGAATTTCTCAGTCATTGTTTCTTTGAGTATTTTTTTCAGTTCTTTTCTGTACTCCAGCTGGAATTGTGATCCCCTAAATGGATGGGATAATCTCTCAGGGCCCCCACCCAGCCTAGTTGTCTGTGCTTTCCAGCTGGGCTTCCTGGAACAAACTGGACCTCCCTGTGGGCTTGAGCCACCGTTGGTACCTGCACGGCTCTCTCCCATCGGCCGCTTGTGCCACTGGTGGTACAAATGAACCTAACCACGTATATTGGTCTTTTTACTAATAAAATTAATAAAAAAGTCTAGATCAGCTGAACCTAGTCAGGTGCTTGAATTTGAATAATTACTGCCCAAATATAAATATGTATTTATAACAGTTATACCACTAATTAGCTTAAGAAATTGTCATATGATGGCGTTTGGTCTGCTAAATCAACGCCTTTTGCTGCATTATTGTAATCAAAATCAAGGTTTTATGTTTCTTATGGCTCAGGCCACCTGAGGGGGTGGTCATGAGTGCGCCATTCGTGGTTCAAGCCAGTGGGACATCAGATTCAAATCAGAACCATTCACAGTGAGAATAGAGAATTGGGGGGCATTGGCTAATGACTCCTTTCTTGTAAGATGCCCTGCCCTGACTTCTCAGCTGTCTGAGGTATGAGAAACAACGTTTGTGTTTGTGGTACTGAGGATTGAACCCAGAAACATTACTACTGAGCTATTTCCTCAGCCTTTTTCATTTTATTTGTAAATTTTGAGACAGGATCTTGCTCAGTTGCCCAGGCTGGCCCCAAAACTGTGATCCTCCTGCCGCAGCCTCCCAAGTAGCTGGATTTATAGGTGTGTACTACCATGCCCAGCAAGATAGATAGTGTTTTAATGAAAGTGTGTCCTGGGAGAGGAGAATTGGCAGACATCCTGGCTATTTTGAAAGCATTTCCTCTCTCTGTTTGTAATGTTCTCTCAATATAAATGTAATGGAGTATTCGCTTCATTCAGAAATACTTACTGGTGCAGAGGGTTAGCTTGTAGTAGCCTTCAAGGAGGGACAATGCCTCGGACAACTGCAGGGCTGATGTCATGGGAGGCCCGTGGTACTGAGGGAGTTCAGTCTGGGGAGCGTGTGTGTCCCGCAGGAGACAGGGCAGCGTCATGGAAGACGTGGCTTTGGAATAGAAGCTCTTGTGGGACTTAGCGATGCCCGTGGTGAATGTGGGAAGGTGGAGTCTTTAAGGCAAAGGAAGGGATACCAACAATTTAAATTGGAAAGCATGGGATGTATCGGTTGGGGAAGGAGGGGAGAGAAGGGGACAGTAGCAGGAGAGATGAGCTGGCCTGACCATGCAGAGCCTTGTCTGGATCTCTGTAAGGATCTTGCATTCATGGGAGGATTTAAGTGTTTTCCTAAAAATTAGCCAGTTGGCTAGGATTGAGACATTTGTGTTCATTCCAGGAAGTGGGAGGAGGCTAGTGTTTGAGAGTCTCCCTCCTGCTTGAGAGAGAACAGCCCCAGGCATTTCCAGGTCATCTTCAGAAGCCCTCTTGGGTGGTAATAGTCCATTTGATGGTAAGAGCATGAAGAGGGGTCTCGATCTGACTGCACTGAGAGTTAGGTACATGATCAAAGACTGGCTTCCTCCAACAAGCTGGTGGGTTGTCTTCTCCAGATACTGGGAAAGTTCTGAGGGGCAAATGGCATTTATGGTGCTGGGCCTCTAGATGGGAGATGACCCCATGACCCCAATGTTACTTTCATCCTTGAATAGCCTGGTGCTTATCTTCTCTTCAGAGCTTGACGAGCCATAGCCTTTACCCTCATGCCGTCCCAGTGTGGAAGGAGGAAAGAGCCTCAGAATTACCCATCCAAACCCTTATTTTTCTGGTGAGAACCAGAAGGCAAGAGTAGTTAGCCGGCATGGTGGTGCATGCCTGCAATCTCAGCACTCGGGAGGCTGAGGCAGGAAGATCACCAGGAGTGCAAGGCCAGCTTGGACTACATAGCAAGATCCTGTCTCAAAAAAATAAAAAAGAGTAGCTGGGCCCCTTGTCCACCTGCACATACAGCAGAGGTTATGGGCAGGGTTTGGCCCACTGTGGCTTCCTGGCCCCTCAGTGTTACTGTCTTCCCAAATCTCTAGCTGCCTGTTATAATTTGCTTCAGGAAGGGTATCCTAATCTTGTAAAGTTCATCAATAACTTCCTGGTTGGCTTTCAGGTGCAGAATTTCTGTACTGGACGTGACCAGTCCAGGGGTGACCCTACCTCATTTGGGGGAGGGATAGTCTGTGCAGTGTGTCTCTTGTGGTCCTAGAACCGGGACAGCCCCACTGAGGCAGAATGGCCAAGGTGCTGTATAGCCTGCAGTGTGGAGGAGAGCACTGTCAGATGGCCCCGTATGCATGACAGCACCTCCAGTGAGCTGATCTTGAGCAAGCTAATGCCACCTTTCTGGGTGCCAGTTCTCCTTGTCTGTGACTTGGCGGTAGATAATAAGGCCACTGCACAGTGTTGGCAGAAGCACTCCTGCTCCGGGAGCACTTTGTACCCACAGACAGTAAAGGTAAGGGGTTACTGTTGCTGTCATTGTCATTATTAGGGCAGCGTGGACATTCTCAGGCTGACTCTCCAGCATGAACTAACAGGAGAGGAACTTGAGCACATAGCCCAGAAGGTATTGAAGTTTTTGCAGGGAGCTGTTCTCCTTCCTTGCTGCTGGTCCTCACCCCGGTGCTTGCTGGAGTCACCTCTGCTGCCGCCAGCTTGGGAGCATTGAAAATGTACCCAGCTGCGCTCCCCATTGTGTGTTGCTTTGTGGGGCAGGGAAATTCCCCCACTAAAACTATTAACTAACCTACAGTTTCTACTAATGCTCCCCACCCGGTGTTCCTGATGCTGTGTGGTTTTTGTTAGAGGTTCTCAAATGAGTTTTTGGAGGGGGAAATCAGACTAATGCTTCAGGTCTTTCAAGGGTCAGAAGAGCAGGAGCGCTGCCTTGCTGAGTGGTTTGTGAGCCACCTCTCTCTCTCTGGCAGGCGGGCAGGAAGACCTACGCCATGGTGTCCGGCCTCTCGGCTGGTCACGCTCTGGCCTCGGAGCTGGTGGAGTCCAACGATGGACACGAGGAGATCATAAAGGTAAGCTTCGCTCCCCTCCCCATTTTCTCCCTCCTTTCTTCCTCCAAGCACGGGAGAGGGCGCAGCTGAACTTCACCAAAAGGAAACTGCAGTTTGACCAGAAGGAGCCAGCCCTGAGATGCTCATTCCTATCCTGGAAATATCTTAATACCAGGAGACCACAACTGGCCTGTAGCGACTTTGGTACAGTCTGACCTTGGGGAATAGGTGTGGACAGAGTGACTTTTCTGAGTGCCTGGCCACTGTGCTCCCTTTTTAAATTTTATTTTGAGACAGGCTCTCCTTAAGGTGGCCAGGCTGGCCTCAAACTCTTGACCCTCTTGCCTTAGCCTCCCAAGTATCTGGGATTATATGTATATGTATGTCACCATTCCTGGCTATGGAACTCACCTATAGAATAGAGAAAACCTTTTATTCCCAGCATGGTGGTTTCCACCTATAATTCCAGCACTGGGAGACTGAGGCAGTAGAATCACAAGGTTCCTAGCCTGGAACTACATACTGAGACTCTGCCTCAAGAAAAAAAAAAACAAAAAACCCTTATATAAATAAATAAATAGAATTTAAAATGATGATTTTCATTATTTATTTCATTTCTTTATGTATGTATGTATGTATGTATGTATGTATGTAGTACTGGGGATTGGACCTAGGGCTGTATACATGCTAAGCAAGTACTCTATCACTGATTACATCCCCAGCTGCAAGGTGTCTTTTTTTTTTTTAGATGGAACTTGGGAATCGAACCCATGGTCTTAGCACCCACTAGGCAGGTATCTTCTCCCATTGAGCTATATCCCCAACCCTTATTTCTTTTTCTTTCTTTCTTTTTTTTTTTTTTTTTGTTGTTGCTTGTTTCTTTTTAAAAATTATCATTTTGAGATATAATTCACATGTCAGACAACTGACCCAGTTAAAGTATACGATTCAAGGTTTTTATTATAATCCACACTTTCTTTTAACTTTAAATTTATAATAATTTTATTTTACAAAAAAGTAGCAGAAATAACAGAATACTCCCATGCCTGGCACCCAGCTTCTTCTAATGGTGACGTACACTGTAGTACCTGTAGTACACTGTGTTATTTTTAACTCTTCTGATCTGAATCACCAAACTGCTAACCAGTCAATTGGTAATAACAGTGTACTTTCCTTCCACCAGTATGTGAGGGTGTTAGTATGAACTAATTTCCCTGGAAGTTGCTTAACTCACTAGTGTTTTCCGCGTTTCAGGTGTACTTGAAGGGAAGGTCAGGAGACAAGATGATCCATGAGAAGAGTGTTAACCAGCTCAAGAGTGAGGTCCAGTACATCCAGGAGGTGGGCTCCCCTTTCCTATGCCATTTCTCTAAACATGGCATTTGGGGGAGGGTCTCTTCTTTTATAGGTTCTCTTTTACTCTTCTTTTTTTAATATCATTGAAGTGCCACCATTCCCTCTTGTGTGTCATAGGTCATTTTTGACCTTTTGAATCCAATCCATTCATCAACGAGTGCTTATTAAGTGCCAGCTGCTGCGCCCTCCCAGCTTTGTACCAAATACCTTATTTCAGCCACTTTCCCAGCACCTCCCAGCCCCTCCCTGTCTTACATTTCTCCTTGGCCCTTCTTCCCATATAACATGCCATACATTTTTCTTATTTGTCCCTTGTGTTGGGTGACAGTACTACCAGGGCAGGCGGTTCATTTATTTTGCTGCTTGCGTAGGAGCAACTGGGCCGTTGCCCGTGTGATCCTGCAGCCAGCCTCATGGTGGCATGGACTAGGGATGGGGATGGGACACAAAGGTGGTTCCCTTTCCTAACCCAAAGCTCAAATGTCGTGTTTTCCCCTCCCAGGCCAGGAGCTGCCTGCAGAAGCTCCGGGAAGATATAAGCAGCAAGCTTGACAGGGATCCAGAAGACTCCGTTCATCAACAGGAGCTGCAGGTAACAGGGAATGGTGTGGAACCCCGCACCATGCCAGGAGGGCAGAGGATGTAGGGGGCACTGGCTTCTCCAAGAGCACATAACCTGGCTGGGCCCCAGCAGGTACACACTTGCTTTACATTTATCAGCCTCCACATTAGTGCACCTGTTCTTGGAACACTGCTCAAAATTGAACTTTTAAAAATCATATTATTATAAGTTATTGGCAAAACTTTGCTTTGTTTTGTTTTGTTTAAGACAGGGACTTACTATGTATTCTAGGCTGGCCTTGAACATACTGTGTAGCCCAGGCTGATCTCAAACTCACAGCATTCCCCCTGCCTCAGCCTCCCAAGTGCTGAGATTGCAGATGTGTGCCACCACACCCGGCAAAACCTTTTATCTGTAAGGATTTTGTGACCAGTGGTCTAGTAAGATAGTCATAGAAAACAGAAAACCACCTATACATGCAAACTTCTTGTAAGCTGGTCTTGCTAAATTTAGGTAATGCCTACTCACGTAAACTGAAGCCTTGGTCCTCACCTGCAGTTCATTGTGTTTATAGCAGTCTTTACTCTGAGTTGAGAAAACCCATGAACTAGAGGTTCACTACTTTGTCCCTGTATCCCTTTGCCTGGCCCAGGGTGTGGGATACAGAAGGCAACAGTAAATGTGAAAGTAACAGACTGGATAAATCTTTTTTTCTTTTTTTGGTTTTTTTTTTTCGCCGGTACCGGGAACCGAACTCACGACCTTGCGCTTGCCAGGCAGGCGCTTTGCCGCTGAGCTAAATCCCCAGCCCCTAGACTGGATAAATCTTAACTGAGGTGGATAATCTATGATCCTGCTTTTGAGCTTTTTCAGAATTCAAGGATGAGATTGTCCTGAGGAGAGTGGAGCTGGCTCTTGGTCATTCACTGCCATCCTTTGATACTCTGAGCTGTGTCTACTTCCTTTGTCTTTTGGTTTGGGCAGGCTGGCCCTTCTCCAGCAACCCCCGTCCTCATTCAGTGCCCAGGAGGGAACTGTGGCCTAGCAGGGTGTCAGGAGGGCGCCTCTCTGTGGCAGGCATGCGCTGGGCGTCTGGGGTGGCCTTTCTTTCCCTGTTGAGTTTAGCTTTGGCTGGAGGCAGGACTTGCAGTGTTTGTTCTCCCCTCTCGCTGGTGGGAGGAGCTTTGTCAGTACTGGAGCCCAGCCTGGGACCTTGTTTGCACGAACCAGCGATCACAGGATGAATGATCAGACTCTGAGTTGGAAGTAATTGTAGCAAAAGCTGCTTTCCCTTTTGATTTATGCTTTGTCAAACCTTGTCAGGATTCTTATGGGCAAGACAATCACTGGCAAGCGGCTGCTTGTACCCTAGGAGGAGTGAGCCTCACATATTTTCCAGTCTGCTGGAAGTTTTGGCCCAAGGTTTCTTTCTCTCTCCCCACCAGGTTAGAGAATTACCCTTTAGGGCTGATTTCCTGCCCCTTTTGGTTTTTCTTTCCCATAGAGCACTGGAAATCTCTTTCTCCCTTTTCTTCTCTCCCTTTCTTCCCTTCTTTCCTTTCTCTTCCTTCCTCCTGCCCTTCTCTCCCATTTTACATGCCTCTCTCCCTCCTTTCCTCTCTCTCTTCTGTCTTTAATTTTCTCTCCTTCATACTTTCTTCCTGCGTTTCTCCTCCCTCTCTTTTGCTCTAAGAGTAGAAAGCTTAGGAATATGTATTTTGACATTGGTTGCTTGGTTGGTTGGTTAAATTGTGTTAACTGGCAATTTTGTTTTTGTGAATAGGTGGTGCTCGAAAAGCCCAATGGCTTTAGTGAGGGTCCTCTGAGCCTGTACAGCAGGCCACCTGAGGTAGGTAATGGGGGACGCACCAATGAATGCTGCTTAACTGCCCCCAACCCCTTTCTTTATTGTTTCTCCTGCTCACTCTTAATACAAGAGTAATACTTAGTGTAAAAATTCAAATAATAGGGAAGTAAAAGATGGAAACTCCCCTTCCCCAAACCCCTGCTTGGCAGATTGAAGTGGCTAGGTAGATCCTTCTAGAGTTGTGCCTCCACCTCAGCTGCCCATTGCAGTGATCTTGGGGGCCATAAAGAGATGATGCCAGGTCCCATCCCCAGAGATCATCACTGTCTGGATCCATGACCTGGGCATCAAAGCTTTTAAATGCTCTTCAGGGTGGAGCGTGGTGCCACGTGCCTACAGTCCCAGCACTGTAGGAGGTTGAGACAGGAGAGCCCTAAGTTCAAGCCCAGCCTGGGCAACTTAGTGATTTATCAAGATCTATCTCAAAATTAAGAAGGATTGAGGATGTAGCTTAGTGCAGAGACCCTCAGTTCAAGCCCCAGTACTGGAAAAACAAAAAGAAGCTCTCCAGTGTTTCTAATGTTTAGCCAAAATTCAAAACCAGTGTTTTATTTCTCTGTGCACAGATACTCTGCATATTAAACATACTACCTGTATATTGGATAAACTTAGGTACTTTTCACAAATACAAGGCCCTGATAAATACATCATTCTTTGCTTGCCTTTATGTTTTTCAGCTGATGAGTATGCTAGAGCCTTCTTTCTCTCTTGGTACCCATAGATTTTGCTCATACATGCACACATATTCACATATATGCTTTTTGTGGTACTGGGATCAAACTGAAGAGTGCTCTACCACTGAGCTATATTACACCCCTTTTTATTTTTCATTTTGAGATAGGATCTTGTTAAGTTGCTCAAGCTGGCCTCAGATTTTACAGGACTGCCTCACTGTACCTGGCTAGATTGGTTGTTTTTTGTTGTTGTTGTTTTGGGTTTTTTTTTTTTGAATAATTGTATGGTATGGCCTTCCATGGCTATAGTTTTTTGACAACTTTGTTTTTATTTTTGCATTGCTGGAAATCAAGCCCAAGCCTTCCCACATGCTAGGCAAGCACTCTGCCACTGGGGTACATCCCAGCCCCCATAGCTATTTTCTAAAAATGATGCTTGTTATGGTTTTCATAATTATATAAGAAATGTTTACTGTAAAATTAGGGGGCATTTCAGAAAAACAGATAAATGAAAGAAGAAAACGTATCAATTTTAATCTCTCCAGAGGGAAAATCATAGTTTGGTGAAATTGTCTTTTTCTGCAATGCAAATGCGTATTTACAGTATTATTACCATATATAACATTTCTTTCTATTGGTTTTTGTTTGGTTGGATTTAATTTAACTTTTTTTTTTTGGTGTTGGTAATTGAACATGTTAAACACAAGCTCCTTGGCTGAGATCCATGCCCAGGCCAAAGGGTGTTTTTTGGGTTAGATGTTCGGCCCTCAAGTGTGGAATTGAGTCATATCCACCCTTAAGCCATGGCTCATAGCACCCTGTGTTCCATGCGGACCTCTTAGTAGTTTTATTATTTTTTTTTACTTCAAACATGATTATAAATGTTTTCAGCTTATATGATGGACTTGTGCTATATTTTTTGTTTTTTTTTTCTTATTTACTCAGCACCATGTTTTTAAGCTCCATTTATGTTACTGTATTAAAACCTACTTTGCTGTTTCTCCTTCATACATGTAAAGTTCTATAACTCAATTTTTTTGCTTCATATTGTATCATATGATGAGACAGCTTCAGGAAAAATTTCCAAGTTGTTAAATAGTCTTAGGAGAACACTGTTTGAAATTAATATATCATAGATAAGTTCTAGGAGCCTTTTAAGCATTTTCATTTGCCTAGCCACTTGGGCAAGAATATAGAGGAACTGACAAGATAACTTAATTGATGTCTAGATTTTAAATGTTGTAATTCTAACCACTGGCCTTAGACATGCAGTTTGGATTTTTCCTTTCCCCTGAATTATCATATTTGGCAAGTATGTTGTTGGCAACAACTTACAATCTTGATAATATTTGTTCAAAGTCTTTCTTCTCAAAGCCCACCAACCAGATATTATCTTACCTGCTTTCTTTTTGAGACAAGGTTTCACTATGCAATTAAAGCTGTTCTTTAACTCATTTGGTACCCCAGGCTGGCCTTGAACTTGTAGCAATCCTCCTGCCTCAGCCTCCTGAGTGCTGAGATTACAGGCATGTGCCACCATGCCTGGCTATCCTTACCTACATTTGAGGCAGCCTGTAAGGCAGGGTATGATGTCTGCTCCACAGATAATGAAACCGAGGATCCAGTAGTAATGCAGTCACTGGGAAGCTGTCTGCCTCCTCCCCTCTGCAAGCGCCATGCTCTGGGGTGAAGGCGTTGCTGCTTCCCACTGTGTGAGACAGGGAGTGATTTTCTGTCCAGCTGCGAGGAAGCTGGGAACTACAGCATCTTCCAGCAGAGGTGGGGGTGAGACCGTGCTCATCATCTCAGCCCTAACCCGAGGTTGGGTGCCTCTGGGAGAGACACTGAGCAGTGACCTTGATTAAACACCTGTTTTGGTATCGAGTCAGATTCCTGCTCTCCTTAGGTGCTTTTGTCCCAAACCCATCCATCTGTCAGTAAGCCTTTATGTGCTCATCTCTGTGCCAGGTGTTGAAGATGGTAAAATATGGGTCTTTGGGCCACTGTCCTGTGATGGGGGAAGTCTAGCCCAAAGGAGAACACGGTTCCTGCTCTGAGACAGCTCTAGTCTGATGGAGGGAGAATATACACATAAAGACAACATGCAAATACCTATTAAGAAATCAGCCCATTAATAAATGTATTTTAGGGGCTGGGGATTTAGCTCAGCGGCACAGCGCCTGCCTGCCAAGCACAAGGTCGTGAGTTCGATTCCTGGTACTGGAAAAAAAAAAAAAAAGATAAATGTATTTTAAATATGACAATGTGTCTTTTTAAGAATAACTGGATGATTTAAGACTTACCAAGTTCTTTGGGGTATAAAGGAAGAATATTTTTCATGAGAATAACTACTTAAGACCAACTCATTTGTGTGATGTTAATTCTCTGGCGAGGGCTGTCCCACAAATGATCCAATCCAGCCTGTGGCAGGGAGAGGAGTTCATAAACATAGTGGCTTCGCCTTCCCCTCTTGTTCTGGTTGTAGGTAGAGACCTTCATAAATGACGACGTTGAGAGTTTAAGAAAAACTGTGCAGAATTTGCGTGCCAAACTGCGGGAGGCAGAGCGGCAACAGCAGTCAGACCGGGCAGCTTTCGAGGTGAGATTTGGGATTTGGAAAAAGCTGCCTCCAGGGATGGGCTACTGGATGCAGGTGCCAGACACTTTCTCAGCATGGACTTCATGCTTTTCTGGTTGAGTCCCACCAACTGGAAAGGCAACACTTTGAGGCCTGGGGCACTTTCTGTCTGCTTTTCCCTCTGGACATTTAGAATGTTCACCTTCCAAGTCTGGCTCATAGTTCAAAGGTCAGATTATTTTTTATTTTTTTAGTTTTTTTGAGACAGGGTTTCATCATGTAGTTCAGGCTGGCCTTGAACTCACTATGTAACCCAGGCTGGCCTTGAACTTGTGGCAATCCTGCCTCAGCCTCCCAGGTGCTGGGATTGCAGATGTGTGCCACTCTGCCCAGTTTCAAAGGTCAGATCTTGACTCTGCTCTGCTGAAGTGGAGTAATAGTACTGGTTTTATGGGCTGGGGATTTAGCTCAGCAGCACAGTGCCTGCCTGGCAAGCGCAAGGTCATGAGTTCGATTCCTGGTACCAGAAAACAAACAAACAAAAAAATAGTACTGGTCTTTGACAGCAGGTAAGTGGGAAGTTGTTTGGGGCTCAAGGTATAGCTCAGTGGTAGAGTACTTTCCCAGCATGCTCAAGGCCTTGGCTCTGCTCTCCAGCACATGTGCACACACGCAGGAAGTCCTTTTCTGTATGTACCTTGATGAGAATCACTGGGCTCCAGGGCTCTTTATAAGCCAGGACTGCTGCTATTGTGTGTACCATTGAGTCCCCAGCATCTGGCAGGATGCCTGGCATTGAGTGTTTCCTAAATGTGTACTGAGGGAGTGGGTAGATCTGCGTTGTCATAGAACAGTGTCTGTGGAATCAGAGGGCTTTGTGATCTGGAGCGAGTATCTTAATTATTCTTACAGTTTTGTTTTTTTTTTCTGGTACTAGGGATTGAACCCAGGGCTTTTGCACTAAGCTATACCCCTAAACCTCTCCCTCTCTCCTTTCTTCCTTCCTTCCTTCTTTTCTTCTTTGTTTATTTGAGATATGTCTTTTTAAGTTGCCTGAATTTGTGATCCTTCTGCCTCAGGGTCTTTCTATGTATTCAAGATCAGCCTTAAACTCACCATGTAGCCAAGTCTGGTCTCTATCTCAAGATCTTCCTGCCTCAGCCTCCTAAGTACAGAGGAGGCCATTGCCTCTGGCTTACAGTTCATTTATTTAAAAAAGTAATACTGGACCTGGGGATATAGCTCAGTGGCACAGCGCCTGCCTGGCAAGTGCAAGGTCCTGAGTTCAATTGCCAATTACTGGCACACACACACACAAAGTAATACTAGATTATTATAGAAGAGTAATAAAAATACAGAAGTCTACAAATAGAGAGTGAAAGACCCCCTTCTGTCAAGAGTATGTGAAGTCTTCCATGCTTCCTAGAAAATTCTTTGAATCTGAAACAGGATGCACTGGGTAGTTATCTTATTACTCTGTGTGAGATTAACCACCTGTTACCTACTGTTGTTCATCCACAAATAAAACATTTTCATGTCATAAATATGTTATGATAGGATTGTACCCTGTGTGCCCATGCTGTGAGCTAGGGAAAGAGGAAGGCATCTGCGGCTCCGAAGCCAGTGTCCTGATAGCTGCAGCCAGCCAGAGTTTAGAGGGTATCTGTCTCTTCCACTTCATCTCCCTCTCTCTCTGCCAGTACTGGCCTTGAACCCAGGGCCTTGTACTTGCTTTGTCACTGAGCTACATCCCCAGCCTTCTTTATTCTTATTTTGAGACAGGGCCTCACTGAGTTGCCCAGACTGTCCTTAAACTTTTAATCCTCCTGCCTCAGCTTCCCATGTGGCTGGGATTGTAGATGTGTACCTGGCTTGAACCTTGTGGTGAGCAGCACCCAGCTACAAAAGGAGGTGCCCCGAGGCTGTTCCCACTATTGGAAAGTGTTGGCTCACCCTCTTAGAATTCAGAGGTTGATTTATGGGCAGGGTTTCTGGAGCTACAGATAGGGGAAGGGAATTTATATTTTTTCTTTTCTCTTTTGTACTTTTGTGATTCTCTGATGGGTGTTTGAGGTTTGAACCATGGCCCTGTTAACAGTGTTCACAGGGTACACGTCAACCTGGTTGCAATTTTTCTGTACTGAGATGAGAGACCTTTGCTTTTAAGTTTCTGCCCCATGGAGTTGGCCCATTTCATGCTAAAGTAGGTTATTATTATCCTTTTTTTTTTTTTAAATTTTTTAAATTTTTTTTTATTTTAAAGAATAAAAGAAGGATGACATAATAATAGGGGGGACTTAGCAAATTACATACAAAATGGTAGGAAATTATCAATGGTTATCGTTTTACATATTATCATCTACAAAATAGTTTCTCAGGAAAACAAATAGACAAATAATAGTGAGTTACAGACAAAAGAGGTAGGAGATTATCAAGAGTTGTTGTGCTATACTTTGGTATCTTCAAAGTGGCTTCTAAAGAAAATAAATAGAACTATACATGAGTGACCTATTGAAAAATCATTAACTATTCTCAATGGTTGTTGTAGGAAACACATAATAATAAACATACATCCATTTATGAAATAGGATAGGAACATTACAAACTTTACACAGTTATGGATAGATTAGTAGGAAAATATCAATGGCTGCTGTAATACGTGGTGGTATCTTCAGAGTGGTTTCTCAGGAAGACAGAGATATGCAAGAGGGACCTATTAAGTAGTTACAGCCTAAGGGTTGTCAAAAATAGCATATTACCTCCTCACCAGTGACTTCTTTCACTGAGGTATGATGGCTGGAAGGAAGGCCAGGATTGAAAAGAAGGACTGAGAGACTTGCACCTGTGTCTAGCAACAGGCTGTTTTCTTGTTCCTCCATAGTCATGATTACCCAGGGATTTTTTTTTTTTTTAAACAGAGTTTCACTCGATATTCCCGGCTGGCCCTAAATTCACTGTTTAGCCTAGGGTGGTCTCACTCTGGGGATCTTCCTGCTTCAGCCTCCTAGAGTACTGAGATTATAGCCGTGTGCCACCATGCCCAATTAATCCAGGTGAGGGTATTTCTCAAGCTCTCCTAGTGAGCCGGACTTTCTGGTGCACTTTTCTGAACCTGGGGGTAGGAAGGGAAGATCATCAATTGCTGTGAAGGTAACCTGCTTGGGTTTCATACTCTACTAGCTGCTTGCTGTCAGGAGGGATTTGGGGTGAATTTGCTCTGGACGGGCTGCTGTGCTGATGCATCCCTTCACCTGCCGTGCTGAGCTCTCTTCTCCTCCCTCATCCCGATGCTAGGAGGAGCCAGACACACGGGCCTCTGGCATCTGCTTTCCCAGGACTGTGCAGGCTTTCCAGAGGTTACCCGAACTCTTACCAAATAATTCAGAGTCAGAGCGGGTACTTGGGAAGCGGTGGAGTGGGCGCTGAAGTAACTGCATGGCAGTGTTGGCTCCGTCGTTCCCTGTCATGAACAGCTCAGTTAAACTTTGCAAAAAGGAGAGGATTGGCGTGAACGAACATCAGTCTCATTCCCAACCTTAGTGAGCAGCTGCTGTACATGAGGCACCATGGGAACTCGGGAAGTGCCCTGGGCTTGAGGCTGTGCCAGCGGGAGCCTTCATCCGCTCGGGTGCGCACACAGGAGCCTGGGCGACATCTGGCAAGTGCCATGGGGGGAAGGGCTGTGTCCCCTGTGGGCCCCTTCCCAGGCCCTGAATGCCCTTCCAGATGTTGTGTCGCCTTCTGTACTTAAGCTCTGAAATGTCGCTCGATGTGAAGGTGAAGGAGAATCGGGAAATGGAAGATGTGGAGATACCCGCCCGGGTTATGTGCTTTCGAGTCAATAGGAAAGCGACAGTGTCGGGTGAGGTGTGGGTGGCGTTGGAAGATTCCTAGGGGCACTGAAGAAGGCAGCCCCCTGTCAAGTGGTGCTTCTGGAGTCCAGGTGCCACTTTCACGTGGAGCTGGATGAACTGCAGGTGCCAGCTAACCCTGGAGGTGGAGTTGCCCTGCATGAGTCCTCTCGGGGGCGCCTAACAGGGCTGAGAGGTGGTGATGTGCTTGTCAGAGCTGCCTCCTTTCCTGCATCATGGCTCCAAGCTACCCAGATTCTAAGTTTTTTAATCCATGTTTGCTTTTTCCCCTCCATTGAAAACATGCCCATCCTGTGTCATAGGTCACACTCAGCCACTACCAGCGAGAAGCAGAACAGAGTAATGTGGCCCTTCGGAGAGAGGAGGACAGAGCGGAGCAGAAAGAGGCAGAAATTGGGGAGCTGCAGAGGCGCCTGCTGGGCATGGAGATGGTAAGGTTGGAGTTCCCTGTTTCATTGCCTAGGCTTGGGGTCTGGAAGGGGGTGAGGACTGATGGAAATATTGAGGGTCTCCTTTTTCAGAAAAGCACACTTCGTAGCTTTGGCACATCCTTCTTTTGTTTTGGTTTAGTTTTTTTTGAGAAAAGGGTCTCACTGCGTAGTGCACGCTGGCCTTGAACTCGCTTATGTAGCCCAGGCTAGCCTTGAACTCACAGTGATCCTCCTGCCTCAGCCTTCTGAGTGCAGAGATCACAGGTGTGTGCTACCACACCCAGCAATGGCACATCCTTTTTTTTAAAAAATTATTATTATTTTAAAGCGATAAAAATTTTTTAAAAACAATACTAATGATATAGAATTTCAAAACAAGATGATAGGAAATTAATAATGGTTATTATATTGCATATTGTCATCTTCAAAGCAGTTGTTCAGATTACTAGATATAGGCATGCAAAATTGATCAAACAAGCATTCACTTCTCCTTGCAATAAACCAATAGAAATTAGTAGTACAATTATTTTAGCTATCTTGTGTATATATATATATATATATATTTATATTTTTCCCCTACCTTCTTCCTTTCTTTGCTCTTTACCCCCATCCCAGTTGTTCTTGCCTTTTGAGCAGTTACTTTCCCTTTCACAATATCTATTGTACCTTTCGGATTTTATTTACTCTTTCAGATTCTTGCACTAGGGAGCCAATATGACGTTTACACATGCAAGTCTGATTTATTTCACTTATGAGTATGGTCTCTAGTTACATCCATTTACCTATAAAAGCCTCAAGTTTATCTTTCTTTATAGCTGAGTAATACTCCATTGTATAAGAATACCACATCTTTTTGTCCATTCCTCAGTTGATGGACATTTGGGTTGTTTCTAAGATTTACCTATGACAAATTGCGCTGCCGTAAACATGGGTGCGCATATATCACTGTGGTATAATGTTTTCAATGCTTCTGGAAAAATGCCGGAAGGGGAATAGCTGGGTCGAATGGGACCTCTAATCCTAGTTTCTAAGGAATCTTCAAACTGATTTCCACAGTGGTTTCACTAGTCTACACTCCCACCAACAGTGGAGTAGGGTTCCTTTTTCCCCACACCCCTGCCAAGATTTGTTATTGGTTGATTTCTTGATGACAGCCATTGGTTCTGGGGTGAAATGGAATGTCAGTGTTGTTTTAATTTGCATTTCTTCAGTGAGCAATGATGTTGAATATTTTTTGTATATTTATTTGTCATTTGTATTTCTACATTTGAGAAGTGTATATTCATCTCAGTTGCCCATTTTCTGATTGGGTCTGTGAATTTTGGGGGCCTAATTTTTTTTTTTAATTCTTTATATGTTCTAGATAGAAGTCCTTTGTCTGAGGGTCAGTTGGCTAAAATTTTTCCCAATTCACGGGTTTCTTTTTACTGTGTTGGTGATTTCTTTTGATGTGGCACATCCTTTTGAATACCCTTTAGGCTTTAAGGAATGGGAAGTCCTTTTCATTATCCAGCTTCAGTTACTGCCTCGCTCCCCGCCTTCTCTTCAGTACAGTTTTTACACAGATGCCTTGTTGGGCTCTTGAGGACTATTCCTTAGAAGCCACTCTGCCTGGTTTCTCTGGGGCTGGCTGCCGAGCTGACAGGTGGGCTTGCATAATAGCAGGCCGGGTTCTCCCTCCAGGCAGCTGGGTGAGGCTGGGAAGTTTCTGTGTGCTGAGGGTGGGAAGGGTTATCCCTGACAGGGGAGGGCGCCCCATCAAACCAGCTTGGCCTGCCGCTCTTTGGCAGCTGTCCCAGGCCTGGTAGGGGCAAAGCTCCTGGTAGTGCCCATCTCACACAGAAGCATTTGCTGTTCACTCACACTAGATGTCCTTTCCTTTGTCCTCCCAGGAGCATCAGGCCTTGCTGGCGAAAGTCAGAGAAGGGGAGACAGCCCTGGAGGAACTCCGAGGCAAGGACGCTGACTGCCGAGCGGAGCAAGAAAAGTAAGGACCTTTGTTCATGCTGAAGTTGGGTGCAGGGCAGGCTGTGCTGCCTGCAGCTCCCATGGTGACCAGGCCTGGGGAGAAAGTTGGTGCTGACGTCGAATCTTCCAGCTGTGACTCACAACATGCTTGCTAAGGGTGGGTCCCCACCCAGGGAAAGATTGTTTGGAAGGCCGCCATGTGCTGGGAGCTCATTTTTCCATGGGCTGTAACCCTAAGAAAAGGTTTTTATGGTTTTAGAGCCAAGGTCAAGGAAAAGCTGGTAAAGCACATGCTGATCCACTGGGTGTGTCGCCCCGTGGTTCCTTCCCTTAGAGCAGAACCTACTGCAAGCTCCTGAGGGTCACAGAACTTCCTTTCCAGTTGTGCTGATGAAAGAGCGAGCCACTTCATGAGCACTTCCTGCTACAATCCAGATAGAAACCAAGAATCCCTCCCTGCAGTAGCATTTAGAGGATCACTGAGCTCTTCCTACCTGCAAGGTTAGGGGATTTACAAATTCCCTCTGAAGAGAGGGGGACCAGGGCCTCCTGACCAATGAAACCTTGTAGGTCTTCAGGAATTTGAAAATTCTTTATGCAGTTGGGGTTAATAAACAAAATCTCAAATAGTAAATTAATTTTATTGTCAGCATTTTCTAAGATAGACATTGTTTGGGTTTAGTAAACTTTATCTGAAGGGCCTTCTAAGAATTTCTAAAATTAATAGACACAATCAGAAATCCTCAGTCTTTGGGGGGCATATTTTCTCTGTTTTAGGATAACCTAGATTTGGCCTTCCTGGCATAAAAAATACAGGCATGTTATTGTAGCTTCCTTTCTAATTTTACTTTGTATCAGAATTACTTTAAATTATAGTTGGCCCCCTGTATCTGCAGATTCCACATCTGCAGATTCAACCAAGTAGAGATTGAAAATGTTCTGGGAAAAAAAACTGCATTTGCCTGAGCATAGTGACACAGGCCCATGATTCCCCCACTCTGGGAGGCTGAGGCAAGAGGGTCGCAATTTAAGCCCAGCCTGGGGAACTAAGTAATTTAATGATACCTGTCTCAAAATAAAAAATAAAAAGATCTAGGGATGTAGCTCAGTGCAAAAGCTTTGGGTTCAATTCCCAGTCCTCCCCTACGCTTCCCCAAAAAACATATATACTGAACATGTACAAATTTGCGCGCGGGGGGGGGGGTCATTGTTTCCTAAATAATACAGTATAACAACTATGTAGTACAGTTTTTACATTGTTTTAGGTAGTATAAGTAACCTAGGGATGTTTAAAAATATATGGGAGGAGGGGCTGGGGATTTAGCTCAGCGGCAAAGCGCCTGCCTGGCAAGCGCAAGGTTGTGAGTTCAGTTCCCGGTACCGGAGAAAAACCAAAAAGAAAAAGAAATTAAAAAAAAATATATGGGAGGATATATACAGGCTGTATGCAAGCACACCATTTAGATAAGGTATTGAGCATTCCTGGGGGTCCTGGAGCCAGTCCCCCTTCAATACTGAGGGATGACTATACTCAGTACTCCCTCTTTCTCTGTGTCAGAGGTGGACATGGAGGAGAGGGAAGGAGGAGGAGGAACAAGAGAAACAGATGCGATAATCCAGCCAAGGTTTGGGGATAGCAGCTGATAGCTGGGCATTCCCAAGGCTGATTTCCTAAATAACAAGAGACTGAGAAATAGGACATTGGAGAGCCGAGAGTGGAAACTAGAATGTTTGAAGTTTAGGAAGGATGTGGGGTGGCCCAGAATACACTGTCCCTCACCCGACCCAAGCCCTGCCCACCCTCAGCAGGCTGCAGTCTCTGCCTCCTTGGGCAGAACCGGGGAGTAATGGGCATCAGCAGCTCAGGTCTGAACCCCTGGACACTCCTGAGTGGCCTAAATGAAGGGAAACTGTCCCTTTGCTCACCGTACTTGTAACACCAGGCGTGTAGGTCCCCACACCAAGCAATTCTCTGGTTCTATGACACCAGCTAGGTGTCCCACAATTTCCTTCAGCTGTGAGGTGCAGCCCCCAGAAGTTGAAGGTTCAGTACCATAAGAGCAGCCCCAGTTCAGATGTCAGTCACAGTTAGTGGACCCAAGGGTACCCGCACTTTTCTCCTACTTCACTACAAAGTGGGGATTCCCACGATCGCTTCCTCTGGTTTGATAAAGTGCTGTAATGGCTCATAGAACTCAGGAAATGCTTTCCTCACTGTTACTCGTCCTTTATAAGGGATGCAAATGGACAGGCAGATGAAGAGGTATGTGGGGTAAGGTCCAGAAGGCTGCTGGAGCTGCTGTCTCCAGGAAGTTGGGGTACACCACTCTCAGCACATGGATCTGTTCACCAGCCAAGGAGCTCCCTCAACCCCTTAGTTAGGGCTTTTAGTGGCTGTTTCGTTATGTAGCTGGGATTGAGTTAAATCACTGGTCACGGGTGATTGGTCCAGTTGCCTGCCTTCAGTTCCTGTCACCTTCCCAGAGTTTGGGGCTGGGGCTGAAATCACCAAACCTTTAATCGTATCTTGGTCTTTCTGGCCATTGTCCTACTCCTGGGGCAATTTATAGACCCCATCCACCAGGGACTTTCTTCACATACAAAAGACACTTCACTCCCAGAGATTCTTCCCCACTAGATGCCAGCTGCAGTTAGTGCCTCCAAGGGTACCCACACTTTTGTGTCAGCTGACTACAACTAGGAGTTCCCACAATCACCTCCTCCATTTAATAATGTGTTGTAATGGAAGTTCTTGTCAGAAATTGTCAACCAAGATGAAATATTACAAAAAAACATGCCTCTATCACCTATCTACTTAAGAATGTACAAGAGTTTTAGGAACTCTGTCAGGACCTGAGGACAGAGACTAAATATATATTTTGTTTTGTTTTGTTTTGTCTTTTTGAGACAGGGTCTTGCTATGCAGTTCAGGCTGGCCTTGAGCTCACTTTGTAGCCCAGACTGGTCTTGAACTCACAACAATCCTCCTGCCTCAGCCTCCCAAGTGCTGGGATTACAGGTGTGCACCACCACACCCGGCCAAATATGTATTTTGTATTGGGGATCTTGGCTTAGTTTGCTTAGAATGCAAAGAAAGCAACAGTGGTTTAGGAAGCTTAGAAATAGAATTGTGTGAAGAGGCTTTAATCATCTTCAGATCTTATTTCCCTCCTAATATAAAATCCCTGCCAATAGCTTGATGATTTTGGATATAGTAATCCCAGTTCCTATTAGAATCTTCCCAGTAATGAGAAGCTCATTACATATGCAGCCCGTTTTCTGACAGTAATAATACCGAGTTTTCCTGTACTAATGCACAAACTGCCTTCTGGAAACATCTGCCTATTTACTCTCTAGAGTTATCTGGAATGACGTACACGTCCCAGCCTTTCAGGAGGGACTTAGCCTCTCACACTTGCCTCATTTGGACTGGGTGACAGCTGCTGGTGCTTCCAGCATGATGGCCTGTCTCCCACCACCTGTTCTTTAGGGCCCACTGCTGAGGTGTCAGGTGGAGGTGGTCATACTTGGGGGACCCTCCCGAGCGCAAGGCTCTTCCTGTGACTAAGTGGAGAAGGGATCTTTTTCCCTTGCTTCAGCCTCTGGTCTTTATCCCCAGGGCTGCTGCCTTGGAAAAGGAGGTGGCAGGGTTGCGGGAGAAGATCCACCACCTGGACGACATGCTCAAGAGCCAGCAGCGGAAAGTCCGGCAGATGATAGAGCAGGTGAGTTGGACTAGCTCCAGGCCCACCCTGGGTGGGGCCCCAGTCCATGCACTTGCTTATCGTACTCCTAGGCAGCTTGGCTAACACTCAAGTGTTTCCGATAAAACGTTTATCGCTTCCAATTACTAGGGTTGGGATTATGAGGATTTGCTTTTCATCTGTCTTTCCCCTACTTTTTTGGCTATTTGGCTTCCTCTTTTCTTTTTTCTTTCTTTCTTTCTTTTTTTTTATTTTTTTGAGGCAGGATCTTGCTATGAATTCAGACTGGCCTTGAGTTCTCACTATGAAGCTGAGGCTGGCATCAAACTCACTGCAAACCTCCTGTCTTAGCCTCCTGATTGCTGGGATTACAGGCATCTACCACAGCCAGTTTAGGCTTCTGCTTTCTAAAAGGGACAGAAGGGAAAGGTTAATCTCTCTTTCACTCTGAAGAGTGCTGGTGAATGGATAAGTGGATCATAATAAACTCAGTTATCTGTGTGTAGATTATCAGTCTGTGCCTCATGGCAAATTTTCCTGCCTACCCTACCTAAACTCCAGGGTCACACTTTCAGGGTCCCCCAATTTGCAGATTGAGAACATACAACTGCCCCCCTGCAATTCTTCATATTGTATTTATATCAATTTTGCTTACTGCTGTTTCCCATTTCATATTTTGAATAGGACCTTCCATATCATAAGCATTAGATAAATTTCTTTTTTTTCTTTCTGCTTTGTTTGAGTACTAAGTATTGAACTCAGGGCCAGGGCCTTAGCACTGAGCTACATCCCCAGCCCTTTTAAAAATTGTTTTATTTTGAGACTGGGTCACACTAAGTTGCTGAATTGCTCAGGCTGGGTTTGAACTTGCAATTCTCTTTCCTCAGCCACCCACAGTGCTGGGATTGCAGACATGTATTGCCATGCCCAGCTTCAGTAAATATTTCTTGAGTGAATACATAATTTATATATTCTAGAACCAAATGGAATGGATTTTGAATCATCCCCCATGTATTTTGGACTATCGGAGTGATGTTCTCCTCATACTCTCCTATCCCCATGCCTGGGATTACCAAGAGTTTACTGTTGTCTAAAATGAAACTTGTAGGGGCCAGGGATATAGCTGAGTGGCACAGGACCTGCCTGGCAAGTGCAAAGTCCCGAGTTCGATTCCCAGCCTTCCCCACAATCAATCAATCAATAAAACTTGTAGACTAGCTAATGAATCATGGAAAGGTTGCAGAGCTCTGCTTCTCATCTCTTCCACAGCAGCAGGGTGAAGTTTGGTGAGTATCTGTAATGACTCATTGCAAAATAAGCCTGAGTGTCGTCTCTATCATTGCAGCTCCAGAATTCGAAAGCTGTGATCCAGTCAAAGGATGCCACCATCCAGGAGCTCAAGGAGAAGGTTGCTTATCTGGAGGCAGAGGTGTGTATGCTGGGTAGGTCTGGCAGGGAACAGGGCTCTTGAGCAGAAGACCAGATGTAGAGAGGGAGAGGCGAAGGAGGGCATCTTGGTCCTGTCCAGCTGCTGCTCAGAAGTGAGTATCTGCAGTGGCTGCTCAATGGACAGTTTAGTTGAGGAACATTTTCTGAGAACCCTCGGGAATTTGTTGACAGTGGTAAAATCTGCCCCTGCCCTCAAGGGGCAAACATCGTGGGTGCGAGCCACCTGCCACAGCGTATTCTGAACCTGCGGGCTTTGCAGGAGAGCTGACTATGAAGCCAGCTTGGAAGGAGGAGGCTTATTTGTAGTTGGAGTCTTTCTTGTGGCAAGTGAGATGGGCTTAATTAGCTAATGAATTGTCTTCCGTCTAATGTCCACTTTGCTACAAAGCCCTTCCTGACCCTAGACTGCCTGAAGATCACTTTGCAGCCACTGTGTGATGATCCCTGTAGTGGAGGAGACAAATGGGAGATAAGACTGTTTATCTTTAGAGAGTATGTAGTCTAGAGCTAAAGATAAACTGCATTAAGAAAAAAACACAAACCTAAAATGGGTGTGGTGGTGCATGCCTGTAATCCTAGCACTCCAGTAGGCTGAGACAGGAGGGTAACAGACTTAGCATTTCAGCAATTTAGCAAGACTCTGTCTTAAACCAGAAATATAAAACAAGGGCTGGGTATGTAGTCTGGGTTCAATTGAGATACTGGAAAAAAGGGGGCAGGGAAAGACAAAGGGTAGTATTTAGTAGTATAGTGTACAGAAATGCACATAGAAAAGATATGGGAAATGATCCCTGCTGTGCAGAGTTAGAAGAGAGCAATCTATAGTGATGAGGACGAGAACGAGGGTAGAAAGCACCCAAGTTGTGGTGTAGACGCAGCGCAGATGCAGAGGTGAGAGGCCAGAGGAACTAAGTAAGTGTGGCATGGATGGCCATTGTCGGTATTACAGAATTTGGAGATGCACGACCGGATGGAACACCTGATAGAGAAACAGATCAGCCATGGTAACTTCAGCACTCAGACCCGGGCCAAGACGGAGAACCTGGGCAGGTGAGCGCGTGCATAGAGTGGGCCCAGTAGGAAAGAGGCAAGGAGGGTCAGACCTGTGCAAAACCTTTAGTGCTGAGGCAAAGACAAGACTCTTTGAAATCTAACTTTGCTCTTTTATCTTCTGATCTGACCCATTTTCCACCAGATCCATTTTCTAGCCTATTTAAAGCCTGAAACTGTGAAGCTAACAAGGTCTAGGAAAGGACCTGGGCCATATGGGGTATGAACCCTCTGAAATGGCATGCAAAATGTATTTGTAATATTTTCATGCTGTAAATAGGTGTGTGAGCTGGGGGTGGTGGTGCACATCTGTAATCATAGCATGTGGGGGGCTGAGGCAGGAGGATCACTGTAAGTTCAAGGCCAGCCTGAACTACATAGTGAGACCCTGTCTCAAAAAAAAAAACAAAACAAAAAATAGGTTGTGTAATATCTGAATGTTTCTGGAAAAGGTCCTTTTCCCCCAGTAGATTCCCAGAAGGGCCCAAACTCAAAAAAATCTAGACTCACAGCTACCTGTGCTTCCCAGGGGTTCGCCTGCCCCTCCTTTCTCCACCCTTGCCACTGGACACATGCATCATGCCCCAAATCTTCTCTGAGATGTTACAAAACGTTACTGTCTCAAAGCCTTGGAACCCTAGAGATCAGGCTGCACTGAAATGTAGGATTCTGGAGGCAGAGGTAGAGGGAAGGCTTCCTGAAGTGTGGGCAATAACAAATGCTGAGCTTTTCAATTTCTCTTTCAGTGTCAGGATATCTAAGCCCCCCAGCCCCAAGCCCTTGCCTCTCATCCGAGTGGTGGAAACCTGAGCTTGAGGAGACACACAAGGATATGTATGCTGCTGGTGCTGCCACCTCTGGCCCGTGGAGAAGCCACCAACCCGCAGGGTGTTAACACTGACTTTGACTTCTGCATTGTTCCCTGGCTGCGCTAGGGCCTGGGGACCGTGTGTCTTACAGGTCCCTAGCTCTAGCCCTCTGTTTGCTGGGTGCATGGAGCACGAGCACCTCCTCTGGACACTGCAGCCCTTGGGAGATGGTGTCCTGCCAGCGGGAGCCGGGCAATGTCTTTTTCCCGTAGTTGTATTTTTCTCTGTAGCAGAGCCTTCCTTCTGTTGTATACTGGAATCCAGCTGTCCCTGAGGCCCAGCCCTCCTCTGGTTGGGAGAAGTGTCAAGATTTGTCTCAGCCCTAAAAGCCGAAGGCACAGATGTCCGGAGCGATTGGCGTGTGTCCTGGGGAATGGAGTTCCTTCTACAAACACAGCTCGGCACTCAGCAGCTCTCTCCCCTCAGTCCGTACTGATCTGGGCCTCTTCCAGACGGTTGGGCGGCCTGTCTGGGCCTGGCCAGAGCCAGGAAACTAAACTCACTGCAGAGCCTTGTCTTTCTGGGACAAGAGAATGTAGCTTTTAGCAGGACAGTTCTCTGGGGCTGTGGACAGTGATGTGAGACTTCTCTCTGCTGTGAAAATTCCCACAGTCTCCTTAGGGTTTTCCCCTAAGGTGCACCGCAAGGCACACCTCAATCTTCCAGACCCAGAGTATAAAATCTGTGTTTTTACTGAGTTACATCATTCCCAGCAGAACTCTCATTGTATTTATTTTGCTAAGTTATTGGTGTTTTTGCTTACATCTCATAATCAATTCCATACCAGAGTGCTATAGTCTTCTGTTGTGGTACATGGATTTGCTCGAAATAGAAAAACATTCCCATTGGCCCTTTTTATTATCAAATGACATTGTGATAGATCTTCCTCTCTCTTTTTTCTACCTGTTCCTTTCCCTTCTTCCTCCAGACTCGGTACCTCAGGCAGGCAAGGGTACATTCCTTGAGGCGGCGGGTTCTGGGTTCATGTTGTTTAGGGAACACTGTGATCGGGACTTTTTATAGAGACAGGACGTGTTCTCCTAACTCCTCTGAATCCCTCTACTCCGTAGTTGGTCTTTGTATTGTATTGTATTTTATTTGAAACAGGATCATGCTATATTGTCCAGGCTGGCCTTGAACTCTTGATCCTCCTTCCTCAGCCTCTCCAGGAGCTGGGATTATAGGTGTGTGCCACCGTACCTGGATCCATAGTTGGTCTTTATCTTGGCTTTGACTATCCTACAACTCATCATGTTTTCTGTAGGACTTTCCTACAGCCTTAGGAAGTACACAAGCAGCTGAGTGTGCTACTATAGGAAACAGGTAAACTTGGGCTGAGTCTTAGGCTGTATTTGGCTGACAACTGGAAGCCGTAGTCTGTTTCTGTGGGTCAGGACTGAGCTCACCATCTGGCTTCGTGAATAATGGTGCCCTGGGACCTCAGGCAGTCTCCTCATTGGTAAAGTGAAGGTGCTGGGCCTGATCATCTCTGTGTCTCTTCAAGTTCTTGTATTTTGTTTCTGTGGCATATTCTTTGTATAATGAATTTAATAAATTAAATTATGCTAATGTGTCTCTTTGACCTCTTGGTCTGGTTTTCTTTCACTTTTCAGGGAGGAGGAAGGAACATAACTTGAGTGCCTCTTGCAGTCAGGTGTCCTGTCCACACCTGCAAGGCGTGGTCCAAGTACCCAAACACAATGACAGGATGGTGCTGTTAGAAGCAGCGCAGCCCTGTGGTCCGAGTCCTCCCTGTAGGAGGTGCCCTGGGCTTTAGCTTTAACTCCATCTGAGGCAGTGATCTTATGGGACCCTAAGCGGGGTCACTCTGTGTCCTCATTTGGAAGAGCTGGTCAGAGGTGGAGGTCCACAGGTGATGTCGCGATACGCCATGGTGCTGGAGGTAGAGGAGCAACTTCACATGCTCTGCAGAAATGAAAAGTGCTCTGGAAATGCTGACTGCAGCACTTCAAGGGTTTTGTTTCTGCCCGTCTCTGCGCATCATTCAATTAGTCCAGTGAATTTTTTCTTTCTTTCTGCCAAGAAAGCAGTTGACTGCAGGGCCAAGCAGGACACAGCTGGATTTACACCAGTCCTCTCTGGAGGAGGAAGCACAACCCCCATTCCCTGGCCCTGTTTCATTTCTAGTTCCCCTTTCGCCTGCAGTTGAGAGTGGAACTTTTCCAATTTTCTTCCCTTTCTGCTTCTCAGCTAATTCACATTGTACACTACAAAATGCATCAGAGCTAAGCATAGAGACGCATGCGTATAATCCCAGCACTTGGGAAGCTGAGGCAGAAGGATCGCCACAAGTTTGAGACCAGCCTAGGCTACATAATGAGTTCAAGACCAGCCTGAACTATGCAGAGAGATACCCACATACACACAGTGTATGGGAAATCTTGCATGGACCTGGGGTTATCTTCTGGCAGCTGTGGTTCTCTTCTTTTCCTGGCAGTCTTGTTGGCCTCGGTAGATCTAGACCGTGCTTGTCTTAGAATATTAACAGGGTGGCAGCAGGGTGGGGTTGGCTAAGGTGCCAAGAAGACCAGCCTGGCTGGAGTGAGTGTGCTGCCATACAGGAAAGGGAGGCTCATCCCCAGCCTCCTGGGCTTTGTGGGCGGGGCAGAGATTTAGGCTGGAGATAGTGAAGTGTCTGGAGACACTCTGAGACTGGAACCAGGGCTCTACAACGTCCCTTGGACACAAAGTGCCCCTGGTGTCTAGTTCCCACTGCCAAGAACAGGGCCTTGCCCCAGGGGGTTAGGAGGGCGTATGAGGAGAAAGTCCCCTCAAGAGTTATCTTGTCAATCTTTTCAATTAGAGATGGAGGAGAATGAGAGGGGGGAAGAGAGGGTGGAGTGAGCTTAGTGCCTCAAGGGCAGGTCAGCTGCCCCTGGCGTCAGTGGCCTGTTTATTGCCTGTGTCTTGTGATTTTTTTTTTTAAACCAACCCCTTAGTGCTGTTAACATTTCATGGAGGGAGGACTGAGTCTGTGTGTCTGGGGCCTCGGCGCGGCGCGAGGGCCCGTTTCCCTGAGCTGGGTGTTTAGAGCTGCCCGGACTTGCAGCTGGCATCACCAGCCTCCTGGAGACCTGGAGCATCAGCCCCAACGTGGGAAGAGGAGCTGTGGAAGCGCTCCGTACCGCCCAGCAGCTGCCTCCATCTTCAACCTCTTCATTTTTCCCTCTCCTGGACAGAAAAAAGCCTGACTATGACGTGGTATTTCAACCAAATGGTGCACAGGTACTTTTTTTTTTTTTGGTCTTTTTGAGACAGGGTCTTGCTATGCAGTTCAGGCTGGCCTTGAGCTCATTTTGTAGCCCAGGCTGGCCTTGAACTCACAAAGATCTTCCTGCTTCAGCCTTCGAGTGCTAGGATTATGGGTGTGCCCCACCACCTCTGGCTTTTTTTTTTTTGAGATAGGGTCTTGCTATGTAGTTCAGGCTAGCCTTGAATTCACTATAGAGCCCAGGCTGGCCTCGAAGACAAGGCAATCCTTCTGCCTCAGCCTCCTGTGTGCTGGGATTACAGGTGTGTGCCACTGCATTTCACACTGAGCTACATCCCTAGTCCTTTCCCTCCCCCTTCCTTTTCCTCTTTTTCTTTTTTTAAATTTTGGGACAGGGTCTTGTTAAATTACTAAATTGCTCAGGCTGGGCTTGAACTTGGAATCCTCCTGCTTCAGCTTCCCCAGAGTGCTGAGATTACAAGTCTGCACTATCATATTTGGTTGCACTGGAACTTTTTGAAGCTAAATTTCTAAGCCAGAAATTGATTGGCTTATTTTTTATCTCTATGAAAAGTACTTCTCACTACAAAATGTCCCAGGATGAAATATTTCCATTTTGGAAAGCTGTTTTGACATGACACAGATTTTAAAAACTTCATCAGACTGAGGAGGATAATATTCTCTGGGCTGGAAAAGCAGCTCTGCCTCCCTAACCAGCTGTGCACTGCCATGTGTGGCTGTTTCTATGGGGCTCCTAATAAGCTGAGCTTCTTCATCCCTCCATGCCAAGCTTCTGAGCTTGGGCCTGAGCTTGTGCGGGCTCTGACCCAACAGCAGATGTTTGCCTAGAGCCCTTGGCCTCTTTTCCACGCTTCAATTTAGAACTGTAGTAGCTTTGTAAGGAGTAATTGTTTCCTCTCTGTCCTGCCCCAGTTCTAAGGACCATGGCCTTGAAACTCCAAGGTTGGAGACCTAAATAGTCTCTCGCCCCTTGCTCCTGAGGAAAATCCTTGGTCTGGTGGAGGAGGAAAGAGCTGTTTCTTGAAGGTGAGCAGCTTCTAGCCCAGGTGCTCTGTTTTGGACTGGGACCTACTTTGAACGCTAAAATGTGCACAGCCTTTCTGCTGCAATCTCTTTTCCCTGGAGTCCTCTGGAACTTGAAATTGAAGGTAGATAGTAGCAGGGTAATTAATTTCCTGGCAGGGTGTTGGTCACCAAGTCTTAGGCCACAGGACCTCAGCCAACTGAGCAAAAGGAAATCAATAGTCCCTGTGACTTAATCTATTAGTTCAGTGCTGCTTGTATTCCCAGCCCTTCCTGCCTCCCACAAGGGCTCCAGGCCCTCTGCCTGCGTCTGAAGGACTCTGTGACCCTCATGTCTCTTTTGTATCTTTTGGTTTGTGTCTGTGTTTTAACTGATCTGCTGTGTAAAGTATATTCCTCAGTTAGGAAAAGTTTTTGAACATTGGTCTATAAACCAGGCCTCTTTCCTTGGTTATATTCTTATCTCAAGATCAGGAGGTCCAAACTGACTTCCTTCCAAGCTGTCTCCCCTTTTCCATCTCCCACTTCCTCTTAGTAGAGGCGTCACCCTTCTTTGATCTAGACTCGATATTTTCAAGCCATTTTTGACTCCTCTTGCCATGCCTTTTTCCAATTATATTGCTCATGACCGTGCCCTGTTTCTCTTTTCAAATGTCTCTCAGATGTGCCCCTTTCCGTATGCACAGTCTGGCCTTAGCCCACCTCTTAAAGCCAGGATTACCACAGACGCCAGTCCTTGCTTGCCTTTTCTCTGCCTCAAATCCACCCTTATCAAGGTTTGTGGAATCCTTTTCCCACGGTTTCATCCTATCAGTTGGGGCTATTTAGCCAGGACGAAGGAGGGCTGATGGGAAACCTAAGTGTCTCCAAGGAGCTGAAAGACTGTCCCTTAGGAAGAGCAGTTTTGCTTCACTAGCTCCAGAGGGCAAGAAAGTGGACCAGGAAGGTGCATTGTCTTTTCAAGTGGCAAGTTTCCCTACGTACAGCAACATCCCTGATGGGAAACAGTATAACATGGTAAGGACAAATAGAAAGCACCTAGAAATAACCTTTATTTGAGATGTGGATGATCTCTGAAAAAAACTGAACAAATTTTCTTGAAAAACATGGGAAAATTGGAAGAAAAATTTCCCTAGATATGAAAATTAAAATTGTAAAGATCTCATTCTGTGGTTTTGTGTAATTACCATAAATTGCACTGTAATTCAATAGAGTCTGTTTAGAATTGGATATAGCTATTTTAAAATTCATCTGGAGGAACAAACAGAAAAAAGTAAAGGAAAAATTTAAAGGTAGAGCTTAACTGGGAAGAGTATTACTCTTGGCAACCAGTAAAACATTATGTAATTTATACATCAATTTTACAGATTAGTTAGACAGAAATAGACTCAATTTTATACAAGCATTTAAAAAGGATAAAAAAAGCGTTACAACTCAATGGGGGAAAATGTTGGTTAAACTTTTGGTGAAAAGGATGCTAATTACCCTGATTTTATCACTGCATATTGTATACATGTATTGAAATATCACTCTGAACCTCATGAATGTATACAATTATTTTATTTTAGTTTGTCTTTTTTTGAGACAGGGTCTCGATATGCAGTTCGGGCTGGCCTTGAGCTCACTTTGTTGGCTAGGCTGGCCTCAAGCTCCCACTCCCAGCGCCACGCTGACTCGGTTCAGCTGGGTGTTACAAGTTGCCCACCAGTCGTCAGTCCACCACATATACTTTTAGAGCATTGTCTATGTTGGATTACAATAAATTTTTTTCTCTCTTTTTTCCTATTGCCTACAGGGATTATGGAAAACAGTCAAACAGATGGTTTTGGAGTTTCAGGCCACAGTTGGCTGGCTCCAAGGCAGAGACAGCACGGTAGGATATGGTGGAGGAAAGCTGCTTACTTCACGGCCACCAGAAAGAAGAAAGCTAGAACTGTAATATTAAAGGTCATGAAAGAAAAAAGAAATTTTTTTTGGTACCAGGAATCAAACTTAGGACCTTGTGCTTGCCCAGCAAGCACTGTGCTGCTGAGCTATATCCCCAGCCCATGAAGGAAAATATTGCAGCTCATACAAATGTAGACTTCCTGAATTAAAAAACTATAAAGAAGGGGCTGGGGATTTAGCTCAGCGGCAAAGTGCCTGCCTGGCAAGCGCAAGGTTGTGAGTTCGGTTCCGGTACCAGAGAAAAACCAAAAAACCAAAAAAAAAAAACCAAACCAAACAAACAAACAAAAACTATAAAGAGGCCAAAAGAATGAGGAGTTAGGAGAGGTAAGTGGTTGCAGAGGCAACATTTTTATTGATAAACAAATTGATAGAAATGCTAGTATCCCACTAAATCCATGGTCAAGAAAAGAAGGGAGAGTTCAAAAGAGTTATTAAGCGCCCCACTCTTCAGGCCACTGTGCCTTTCACCTAAGATTCGAGTGGGGCTGCCGCAGGGAGCAAGACAAGTACGGTCCTGCCCTGTGAGATCTTGTGCTGTGTACGATAATGTCGGCTGCAGGTCAGAGATTATGCCACTACCATTGGATCCGTCTTCCTGGTGCAGGTACCAGAACAGTCCAGAGACTCCAGGCTTGGCTGAGGCCTCATTCAAGCAGCTGCAAGGAGGCTCATCAAAGACCCAGTTTCTTTTCACTTCTCAATATACAACAGGTTTGCTGTGGTGCTTATTATAACCACATGAAATGCTAAGCAACATGTGTCCAGCGATAGAGGAATGGGGAAGCGCACTTTACTAGGAGGCAGCCGCTCTGGGATATTAGGCGTTTACTACAAATGGCTGTTATGAAGCCTGTGTCACACCAGGAACAGTGCCCAGAATGTTAAGTGTGGGAAAGTGGGACACAAAATTTTATGGAGCCTTATTCCAGCTTGACAAAAGGAAGAAATGTTTCTAAAGAGACTAGAAAAGTACACCTAAATGTTAATCATGTTAGTGGGGTTGGTTGCCATTTATTTATTTGTGCATGTATGAATGTATTACTTTCAGTCTTTGTAAAGAATGGCGCAAGGTGGACACCAGCCAAGACCACCAGGCTTGTGTGAAGGCAACATGGTGTGGAGTTTATTTTTATTTTTTATTTTTTATTTTGTTTTTTTCCGGTACTGGAGAATCAAACTCACGATCTTGTGCTTGCCAGGCAGGCGCTGTGCCGCTGAGCTAAATCCCCAGTCCCTGGTGTGGAGTTTATTGTGCCTGGGGATAGGCAAGCAGAGAGTGAGAAGTCCATCTGGTGGGAACAAAGAGAAGCGGGCTTCTTTATAAGACTTGAAAGAAGGCAAGGGACCTTAGGTGGGAAGAGCTTAGTAAACATCAGTGGTCCAAAGTTCTCTAAATGTCCGGTGCCTCAGTGGGCAAAGTCCTGGTGTAAATGTTTGGGTGTCTTTAGATGTCCTGGTGCTTGGAAGATTCCTTGTTCTATCTTATCTTTTTTTAATGACATCCTCTCCGGTGTTTGCCGAAGGCAGCGCTTGTGGGATTGTAGTTTTTGCGGGGAACAATTGCTGCTGACAAACAGGTTAGTGCTGGGAGAGTCGTGTCTGAGTTGAGCCTGACAGTCTTTGTATCCCAAAAGTCTCAGTGTCCGCTCTCCTCTGCAGCGAGGCACATCCCCGTTGCCTTCCGCATATCCTGGGATTGTTCCCCTTGGTTTTTTGTTTTGTTTGGGGGTATTTTTTTTATGCTTGCTGGTATTATTATTATTTTTTTTTCTTTTGTCTTTTTGAGACAGGGTCTCGCTATGCAGTTCAGGCTGGCCTTGAGTTCACTTTGTAGCCCAGGCTGGTCTCAAACTTGCAGTGATCCTCCTGCCTCAGCCTCCTGAGTGCTGGGATTACAGGCGTGCACCACCACACCCAGTACTGATATTATTTCCAAGATTACAGGCGTGCACCACTCTTCCTGGTGGGATTAAAGTGTCTTTCAGCTCAGCTCTAAAATTACAAGTGTCTGTGGGAGAAGAAGATGAAGTTTTCTGAACACTTTTAGTCAACCAGTTAACCGGAAAACAAGATATTTTTCTTTTGCCAAGAGAAAGCACTCCTTCACTCCCAGGTTGCAACCGCTAGAGGGCAGCAGATCTACGAGCACCTGGGCAGGTGGCCATCCCAGGCCACGCAGGAAGAGGCGTTGCCTGTCTCCTCAGACCTGTCTGGGTCTCTGGAGTTTTCCTACTATAAATCTCAAACTCAGCTTTTGCGCAAAGGGCAGGCAGCCAGGTGAGGAAGATGAAGGAGTAGTTTTGCAAATTAGGCCTGACACCGGAAAGATAAAGGGTAGACCTAAAAAGAAATTAGATTCCAGGAAAGTAAAAAAAATCTTTGGTATCAGGAATTGAACACAGGGCCTCACACTTGCCGGGCAGGCACTGCACTGATGAGCTATATCCCCAGCCCGAAAGTAAATATTTTACGAAAAATTGAAAACATATCTCTGTTCTAGTTTAGGTTGCAAACAGCTCATATCACCAGAGGCAGAGATCTGGGAGGATTTACAGAGTAGTAAAATTTTTGGTAAACTGAAAGATGATTTTAAAAACTCATTTGCAAGCCTTGTGCATAAGGCCCACAACTTCAAGCACCATTGCCTCTCCCTACATTTTAAGCGGTGATGCCTCTCCCTGTCTTGTCTTCTCATAAAAACAGGGAATTCATTCCTAATTTCTCCAAGTTTGGTGTGTGTTTAGGTAAAAGACCTAATCTCTGATCTTCAGGCTCCCTCTTAAAAGAAAAGTAGAGATTGGATTAAAGTCTCTCTCTTTCTCTTTCTTTTTTCCCTTTGCACTGAGCTACCCTCATCTCCCCTTTATTTTTTATTTTGAAACTGGGTCTTGCCAAGTCATTAAGTTGCCCTGGCTAGACTCCAAATTTTAATGCTCCTGCTTCAGCCTCCAAGATTACAGGTGTGCACCACTCTTCCTGGTTGGATTAAAGTGTCTTTCAGCTCAGCTCTAAAATTACAAGTGTGCATAAGGCTTATGTGTATGAGTACTCCTCAAGTTCCCTGAGAAATTTCAGCTCATTTTGCTCATGCTTAGTAAATGCTTACTTGAGAAATAATTGGTTCTGAAAGTCTGTAGAAAGCTCAGCCAAGCCCTGCCACTAATTTTTATTTTTATTTTTTTCTGGAGAGGATGAAATAACTAGAAATACGCTGTGTCCGCTGAATGAAGAACACTGTTCTGGGCATCTGAAGGGGAAAAAGGAAAGAAAGGAAGATCGGCAGGGGTGGTCTGGAGTGCTGGGTGCTAGTGTGGCTTATCCTGCCACCTTGAGGTGGGTGGGCCTTCACTTCTCTGAGGCCTGCTTCGCTGTTCCTTCAAATACCAGGTTCCTCATAATCCAGTCCCAATCACATTTCAGAGTATCACAACTGCTTGAAGATTCAGATGAGCCTTCCAGTGGCTTTTTCAAACACACGGGACTTGGATCCTTTGAGACGACAGTTTGTGTCAGTAGCCTATAATCATGCAGAACACCCGGCGCACCTGCAGGACAGATGAGGTTATGATCTCTACGTAGAAACCTAACCGCGCTTACTCAGGGAGCTGCAGAGCCAGGGCTTTGAGGGGCGATGGTTGGGAGAAGTTGCGCCCTTTACTTACTTAGCCTCCTTTCTGGACGCTGCTACCTGGCCATTTGTCTCTGAGCCACGCCATGCCCTCCTTCACCTCTCTGCTTTCCCATATGTGGTTCTTTCTGCCTGGAATTAATTCTTTCCCTTGTCTTTATCTACTGGGAAGTTTTCGGTCATCCTTCCAACCCCCACTCAGATGACACCTGTGTGGTAAGGCCTTCCCTGCTTCCCCCAGAACCCCCCAGGCAATGTTCATTGCTCTGGGCTCCCCAGTGGCTTCTACAAGACTCATCACACTGTACAGTACGTGTTTGTTTTCACGTCTGCCTCTCCCCGCAGACCTGAGAATCCCCAAAGGGCAGGAGTTGATTGCTTACCTCCCTGTTCCCGACTCTGGCCCATGTCTGGCAGGTTGTGGGTCTTTCATCGATGCTGAGAGGATAAAGTGATTCCCTTTCCTGTCACCAGCGAGATGTTTTGCCAAGTAGTTGACCAGGATCATTGAAGAAAAGACCATCACTCCTAAAGGAGCCCTGGGGCAGGTGCCTGGCATCAGGAGCTAAAAGCAGATAATTGGAGGTTAACACTTAGTGTCTGTGTGCGGGACAGCATACCTCATTCAAAACCTGTCTGAGGCCGTCTGTTTTGTTTTTATGGTCCTGGGGATGCAGCCCAGGACCTTGCACGTGCTAGGCAAGTGCTCTGCCACTGAGCTAGGGGCCCAGCCATTGGAGGCTGCTCAGGATCTATTTTAATCACAGAAGAGGGTTACATGGAAGGAGAAACTTTCTGATGTGTGATTAAGCTCTGGGGCAGGAGCTTGGGGAATGGTAGCCTCTTGTTGAAGATCTTCATGACTTTTTCAGAAAACCTGTCTGGAGCATGTAGGTTAAATACGAATAGATGACTTCTGATTCAAGTTTATGTAATGGATTGGAATGGCTCTTGCTCAGCTCTGAGCATGGGACATGCCGTTGGGCTTTGGTACCAGGAATCAAACTCAGGGTGGGATGACCTGGCCCTGCCTGCTGCCCAGTTGCTCTCCAGCTCCTCTCAGCCTTGCCTCATTTCCAAACATCTGATAGGCCTAACGATTCCTACAGTGTCAGTAGATACAGACCTTGTGAGGGCTGTTAACACCCAGGGGTGCTCAGCACGCGTGCTTCTCTTGGCCTCCTCTCCCAGGGCTCTCGGGGATCAGGGGAGCCAGCAGGTTGAAGTAGAAGACAAAGGAAGAAAGGCTCAGGTGGCCTTCAAGGGCAAAGGTAAGAGGGTAGCAGTGGACTCCATTCTGAGCAGTGGCTCCCTTGCACAGAGGGAGGTTTTTTATTTTTCTTCTGGTACTAGAGGTTTAACTCAGGACCTTCTCACTAAGCTACATCCCCAGCCCATTTCATTTCATTTCATTTCATTTCACAGAGGGTCTCACTAAGTCACCAAGTTACCCATGCTGGGCTCAAACTTTTGATCCTCCTGCCTCAGCCCCTCAAAGGGCTGGGATTACAGGTGTACACCACCACCCCCAGCTAGTATTGGGGATTGAACCCAAGGATGTTCCATCACTGAGCTACATTCCCAGCCCTTTTTAAAAACATTAATTAATCAATACTTTGAGAGAGGATCTTGCTAAGTTGTACAGGCTTCTCTCGAACTTCTGATCCTCTTGCCTCAGCCTCCAGAGTTACTGGGATTACAGGCAAGTGATGCCATGCTTGGAAGTAGAGTTTCTTGAATAGCACTTGATTCAAAATAGCTGTGGGTACAGACATGATGATGTGCACCTGGAGTCCCTGCACTTGGGGAGCTGAGGCAGGAGGTTCGTTTGCACTCAGGAGTTCAAGGCCAGCTGGGAAAATATAGTGAGATCCTGTCTCAAAACCAAGAAAACAAGCAAACAAACAGTAAATTTGAGGAAAGCAGGGAGGGGAGGATGGAAGTGATAGTCAAGGCTGGAAAATGGTTATCATCCAAAATAAATAGGCCGCTGGGGATATAGCTCAGTGGCACAAGTGCCTGTCTGGCAAGTACAAGGTCCTGAGTTCGAATCCTGGTACCTAAATAAATAAATAAGCAAACGTTCCAACATTATGGTGATTACAGAAAGCCATGAACTTACATTTTTTAAAGATGAGCACAATTTTGTTGCTCTATATCTTAAGTAGTCTTGCTGTTTTAACCTTTGTTGTGGGGAGGTTGAGACAGGGTCTCCCTAGGTAGCTCAGGCTGGCCTTGAATTCATGGCAGTCCTCCTGCCTCAGCCTCCCAAGTCCTGGGATTTAATGCATGCACCACTATGCCCAGCTGTTTTAACATTTTTTTTATTGTGGTAAAATATACATAAAATAACATCATTTTTACCATTTTAAAGTGTATGGTTCAGTGGCATCAATACATTTACACTGCTGTATAACCACCACCATCACCATCCATCTCTGGGACCTTTCATCCTTGAGGTTTATTTCAGCTCACAGTTTTAGTCCGCTGGGGCAAGGCAGGCAGACAGGCTGTAAGACTCTGGTGAAGGAAAGCAGCTCACATCATGGGGGCCAGGAAGCCAAGAAAGGAGAAAAGAGCCAGGGGCTGTGCCCTTCCTGGTCACACTCCCAGTGACCCACCTCTTCTGACCAGACACCACCTCCCAGCAGCAGTCTGCTCAGGTGTCTCATGGTTTAATCACTTTCCAGAAGCCGATGAGCCCCTGCGGCTCTTGGAGGACATCTAGATACGAACCACAACAGCTGCTTTGTGAGCCACATGGAACATCTGTCTTTCTGTGGCTGGCTTGTTCATTTAGCATTATATCTTTAAGGTTCATCTGTATTGTAGAATGTGTCTCAGTGTTTCATTAAACTGTTTTGATGACAGTGACCTGTGAAGTCTTATTTCACCTGGGTGATGAAGTGGACACCATCATTTCTAGAGCTGGAGAAACCAAGCTGAAGAGAAACACATTGGGTACATTTAGCTGCGTGGCCAATCCACCCTGCCCTACCCCTCTCTGTTTCCACTTTTGTTTTGGCAGAGCCCTGTTTCGTCCTCCTACTCACTGGCGAGGAATGAGCACAAGGACAAATCTAGTCTCAGCCCCACAAGTGAGTCTTGATTAGTTTGTCAATCATGGTACTTTTGGTTCCTTTGCCAGTAACTGGTTTAACAGATTAGCAGATGAAATACTTCTGGCTCATGAGACATGAAAAAGAGCAGACTCAAGGCTACTATGCAGGGTTTATCTACAAGTGGGCACGAAAAAATTTCTATTTTCCGTTTTCAGCATTGAGATCGTGTGTGGGGGTGGTGTCTGGAGCTCAGCAGCCACCTTGACACCATGACAGGAGTTAGCCAAGTGGCCCAGATGATACACGGAAGATGTGCATCCTCTATGTGACCGAGATGCTGAATGAACTGTCTGGCACTCCTCGCTGTTAGTCTTGCTACTTCTTTGAGGTCACACATTATTGTTTAAACTACTTTTGAATTTTCTGCAGTCAAAAGCCTCCTAGTGACATATTAGGGTTAAAATTAAACAGAAAGAATGCAGACGACTCAAGCCTCACATCTTTCCCACTGGATGACAGAAACAACTCAGAACTCTTACTGGTTTTCTGTCTGTTTGTTTGTTTGTTTTGTTTTATTATGGGAACACTTGACCTATACTTATTTCTCAGCTATTGGCTTGAGTTTGATTTTGAGAGAGAAAGAGGGAGATACTGGGGAAAACAGAGACACAGCTAACAGAGTGACAGCTGCCTAGGAAGTTACCCTGGAAGGATGGAGTGCAATGGTATCTGCGGTGAGGAGGAATGACATAATAAAGCAGAACAGGGTGGCTCTCAGGGCCAGAGCTCGGCTCTCCGATGGGAAACCCAGAAAATCTCAGAGAGTGGTATGTGGCAAAGTGAAAGACAGGTGCGTGGTATGAAGACCACCAGGTGAAGAACTCTGAAGTTCGACAGTGGCGGAACGCTGACAGAGAGCTGAGAGGATTCGGTGTGCTGGTGCTCACTGAAGCAACGCATGGGCACCTGGCAAGCCTTCTCCTTGCCGCGTGCCCTGGGCCTGTGACCCAGGTTTGGATCATCACATTCACTCAGACAACTTGAATCAATCCAAGGGGTTGATAGACAGACCAGCGATCTTTGGGAAACTACACAGAAGCTGAGGAAAGTAAGGGCATTTTTGCTGAGACAAAAAGAAGCAGAGATAAGTAAGAATGGGAGGCAGAGGCAAAAGAGAGAAGTAGCCCTAAGTCCTCCACGCCAGACCCTAAGCCCTTGGCTCTGTCACATTTGTTTTAAATCTATGAATTGCCCAGTGTGGCCAATTATAGTTCCCAACCACAGCCACCACCTCATAGCTCATCCCACGTGCTCTAATTATAATGCAGCACGGACACTCCTGTCACCAGGTAATGGTGTTTATGTCCTCTCCCCTCACAGCTGGGCAGAACCCTGTGACTTGACTGTATGGTAGAAGCAATGCTATCTGACCATCAAAGTCATAAAGGCGCTTTATTCTCTCTGGACATTCTCTTGGGTCCTCTCCACAAGCTAGAAGAAGCTGACAGGCCATGTAAGGAAGCCATGTGTGGGCTCAGACAACAGTCGGCTTTGGCACCACTCACATTTCCAGATGCTGCCACACCCCAGCCATGTAGTTGCCCTTAGCCTTTGTATCTTCCCGAGGGCATCATGATGCACAGACAAGCCGTCCCCACTGTGTCCCATTTGAGCTTCTGAGCCACAGAATCCCTGAACATAGAATGGCAGGATAAGTCATATGTGGCCTGTTCCTTGTTTTTTGTTTTTTTTTTTTCTTTTCTTTTTGAGACAGGGTTTCACTATGCAGTTCAGGCTGACCTTGAGCTCACTTTGTAGCACTGGCTGGTCTCGAACTCACAACAATCCTCCTGCCTCAGCCTCCCGAGTGCTGGGATTACAAGGGTGCACCACCATGCCTGGCCTGTTCCTTGTTTTTAAGAAGCTTATGTTCAGATAGGAAAAGTAAAGTTAAACTAAATTTTATGATATTGTGGCCTACACTGAGTGGTGCTGATCATAAATGCACTAGGAGGCTCATTAGTTATTGTTGTGTAACAAATCACTACAATTCAGCAGTTTAAAATGTGCATTCAGGCTATGCCTGTAATCGCGGCACTTGTCAGGCTGAGGCAGGAGGATCACCTTTGAGGACAGCCTGGGCTGCATAGAGAGTTCAAGGCCAGCCTGAACTATATATCGAGACCCTGTCTCAAAAGACAAACAAACAGTCAAACAGCACATTTAGGATCTCACAGTTTTGGTTGATTTCAGGAGTCAAGGTACTGGCTGGGCTGTCTTCTTCTTTCCTCCATTTCTTTTTTTATTTTTATTTTTAAAACTGTCTTAATAAGTTGCCCAGGCTGGCCTCAAATTTGTGATTCTCCTGCCTCAGTCTCTGGAGAGCTGGGCTAACAGACATGTGCCACCATGCCCATGGTGGAGTGCTCCTCTGTGGAGCTCAGGATCTTCTGAGATCACGCTGTTGTCAGCAGGATTTCGTAAGGGTACCGGGCTGAGGGCAAGTTTCCTTGTTGTCCCTGGGGGCCGCTGTCTGGGGCACCCCGGAGCTCTCTGCCTCCTGGTGTCTCCATAGGCAGCTGGGCCAACAGAAGACCCTCTTGTCTGATCGACTAGGAAGCAGTGCAGGGTTATGTGGTGTGACAGAGCCGTGGGGGTGACGCATCATCACCTTTGCCATATTTTATTGCCCAGAAGCATGCTTCAGTTTCCACTCGCCCTCAGGGGAGGGGATTGTGCAAGAGCATGACTCACTGGAGGCCACCTGGAGGGGTATGTGCCTCTGAAACTTAGAAAAGAGAGATGTCAGAGTGAATTGGAATCCTCAGGGGAAGCTGATGGAGGGACTTCTGTGAGGGCTTGGAAGGGAGGAGATTTCAGACCATTAAAGAGGAAGTGGAAAGAGGAGGAACCTCACAGGCCTTGTGAGTGCAAGTGCAGACGTTTGGTTCTCACCTAAGCAGTTCCTACGCAGGAAGGGCTGGGAAACCTGCTGACTCTGTAGACCAAGAGCACAAGGAATTCTTTCTTATTTAACCAAAAAGAAGCTTGATAGTGAAGAAGCAGTGTCCTGGCCTTGAGGTCAGAACATCTGGGTTCAAAGACCAGTTTTGCTATTAATTAGCAGTGTGATTTGGGGCCTGCTGGTTATCTGAGCCTGGTTTCTCATGAATGCTTCTATTTACATGGTTAATTGCAACAAAAAACCAGCTCTTGGATGGAAAGCACTCTGCAAACCATCCAGTCCTATTTCTGAAGGCAGCTTCACTGTGTGCCAGGACAGGAGGGAGAATCACTAGAGCCCAGGAGCTGAGAGCAGTCAGGGCAAAACAGCAAAAGCTTGTCTCAAAAACCAAACCACGCTGGGGATATAGCTCAGTGGCACAGCACCTACCTGGCATGTGCGGGGTCCTGAGTTCTATTCCTGATGCAAAAAAAAAAAAAAAAACAAAAACCAAACTAAACCCTCTCAAGATTCCCTGGGTCCCCAGTTCTCTGCTCCTAATCTTCCCCCCGGTGTCTCCTAAATGGGGTGGGGGAGACTCCCCGGGTCCTGGCCTGGGTGCCCCTCTCATTCCACTCCATGCTTTTCCTTGATCTCTCATCTGCCACTGCCTGGAGCCAAAGGCTCCCAAATCCATGTGGCCCAGACCACTCCCCGAACCACAAGATTCATGCACCCAGCACATTACTAAACAATTCCTCTTGAATCTCCTACAAGCCCCTCATAGCCACAGGCCCCAAACTAAACTCAGTATCTCCCCTGCAAACCTCTTCTTCCTTTTCAGGCCTCGTCTTGGGGAACCTTACATCATTCCTTCCTCCCCCACCCTCACACCTGAGATCCTAAGTGGTCACCAACTTCCTCTCCTCTGTGTCCCCCTCCTTGTATTCCCACAGCTACTGCCCTAGTTTGAATCTCATTAATTCTCACCCGAATCACCACTATTGCTTCTTAAGTGATCTTCTTCCTACCTCCATTCATTCTCCACACATTCTGCAGAGGGAACTTATTGAAGCATAAATTTGATAATACTGCTGCTGCTCTGTTTAAAAGCAGTTAGAGGCTCCTAAATTCTTAGAAATGAAATTCAAACTCCTGGACACTACACTCCATATCTGAAAACCTCGCAGATCAAACTCTTGCCCACCTCCCCATCTACTTCCTGCCCTGTTCCCTCCACTCCCATCCTACTGACTGGATGTCCTCATACCGTGCCGTGCTCTTTCAAATGTCTGCATACGCCATTCTCCTTGTCAGAAATGCCGTAACTCCCATCCTTCTCTGCCTCAGTGACTCCTCTCATGGATGATTCAGCTCAGCTCTCCCATTTCACAGAACAGCTTCCCTAACTCCTCCCGCTCTGGGCTTGCAGGGCCCTGCTCCATGCTGTCCGGCAGCCTGTGCAGGCCTCTGCCACCATGTCCTTATGCTGAATTGCGATTATTTTGTCTTTTACTGTCTCTCCTGCTAGACTATGAGTTCTTGAGAACAGTAATGGTGTCTTATTTTATGTTGTAATTTTGGTGATCTACTTTTTCTTCCAGTTTGAACTTCCCTGTATATTTCCTATATTTAATTTTTGAACAGGCAAAACACTCATACAACTGAAAATTCAGAGGTTAGAGAACAGTAACAGAACAGAACAAAGTGAAAAACCTACCTGGTCCCTGTCACCAGCCCAGCTGTCCAATCTCCCTTCTCAGTAGCTCTCAGTGTGTGAATGCTTCTAAAGATATAAGCACACACGGTTCCTCTTACACACAAATGCTGCTGTGGTCCATAGTCCGTGCTGTACCTTCTTTCACTTAACCATGCACCACCTCCGTGAGCTCATTCTGTTCCGGTGCACGAAGAGCTGCCTTATTTTTTGTTTGCAGGGACTCAGGTTTCCATTGTGGATGTATCGTAATTTAACCAGTGACTGTTAGGTCATTTCCATTCCTTTTTGAATAAAAAATGACTTCACTTAAGGTAACTTCACAAAAACATCATTTCACATGTGTGCAGTTGTAACAGTGGAAGGAACTCCTAGAAGGGGAGCTGCCAAGTTTGACCATGTACTATTGCCTTTTGGAAATTTGTAGATGTTATTTATCTCTGCATCCCTAGCCACTGTTACAGAATAGAACAGACATTCGGTATATTTTTATTAAATAAATAAGTGAAAAAGCTAGCTCTTTCAATGAAGTTTCCCCCTTCTGTTTTCTTTGTCTGACACCTGATTAGGTAAGCTTCTTCACATCCCAGTTACACCCAATGATTCAGGTTCAAACCAAATTTCGTTATTATTTTGGAGCTAAATTCTTATTCCAATTTATTTGTGTAACTAATCAAGATCCTTCTTCTTTAGGTTGATTGTAAAATAAGGTCATATTCATTTTTATGCTCTAATTATAATGACTTTGAGTTCGTATCCCACATTTTGTGAGCGCTCCTAAAATTTTTACTAGGTCCATCTCCTCCGCCCTCTGGCAATTCCTGGAAAGACTTACATAGTCAATAAACTCTTTCAGGGGGTTTCCTATTGATTTTACAGGTCATCAGACCTATGCTTCTCCTGGATTCATTATTTATTGGTTCTGTAACTTCTCTATGCCTCTTTATTCATCTATAAAATAGAGAACATTATAGGGTGGTAAGGATTTAATGAGATAATAGATGTAAAGTGCTCGGAGGAGAGTTTGGCCAATAGTAATTTTTGGCCAAGAATGGATGGTTTTACTGCTATTTACTAGGGTCTTTACTCAGGCTTGTGGGTTGTGTTTGTAGTAAGCAACCTTGAAAGATGAAATAATATCTCCCTTCAGGACACAGAACAGGTTTTCTTACTGCTTCTATAAAATGGCAGCTTCCCCATGCTCAGTGTTCCTTAGCTGTGATGTAAATCCACTAAATAACACTTACCTGCGATCTTTATTCACATGGTACCTGGTAGGTAAGAGGAACTGACACAAATATGCAGATACTCATGTTACTTCCTGTGTTGTGAATAATAGTCCTGTGTCTCTGAACCAGGAAACTTATGTCTTCTACAGCATCCATGAAACAGAATTAGACTAATTTATTACCTATCAGTAGGATAAACTTAAATGCCAGATCTGAGTAGTAATTGCTTAAATTATAGTATTTTCATTATTTTTGTTCTCACTCTTTTTACTTGCCTTTACCTGGTACTGTGTATAACACCCATTTTTGTGTTTTCTTTTGTTGTTGTTGTTTTTTTTGTTTGTTTGTTTTGGTTTTTTTCTGGTACTGGGAATCAAACTCACGACCTTGCGCTTGCCAGGCAGGCACTGTGCCACTGAGCTAAATCCCCAGCCCCTCATGTTTGTGTTTTCATAGATAACCAAAAAACATTCATTGGGGCCATGTGTCAAGAATTCTACTGTACTACTGAAGGAAACGAATTTCAAATAAAAGTAACTTTGTAATGATTGCTCAAATGAAATTAATTGACTACTGAGACTGTAGTTTCCTCTGTATATATCCTTCGTGTATAGCTGGGGCATACTTCTTATGTAGGTACAATACATGAAAAAAAAGTTGCACAAAAATAACTGGGCTTTAGTTCCTGTTACTTAATAGCTGGGTGACTTTGGCCACTGTAAGATTTGGTTTCCTAATGTTTGAAATAAGGAAACTAGTTTGTGATCTAGTTGTTTCCCAAGGTTGCTGGGGCTCTGAAATAAAATGAACATACAAAGCCAGGCATGATGGCAGAGATCTGCAAAATGCTGAGCCGGGAGAATCAAGCCTACCCTGGGCAACCTCACAACTTAGTGAGACCTTGCTTCAAAACAAAGAGAAGCACAGAGAGAGTTACCTAGGTTCAGTCCACACAAAAATACACAAGTTACTGAGCACATTTAAGACTGTGTTGACTCACAGGCACCAACTCCCCCTAACATTGTTGTGTTTGTGCATGTGTGCACAAACACATGTGCCAGAAATTGAACTCAGGGCCTCGTGCATGCTAAGAACTCAGTCCAACTCTGAGCAGCACCCCTAGCCGACATTACTGGTTGTAGACCTTATGAAATCAAGTGGAGAGGAAACTTGTCCTGTGTCAATAGGGGAACCTCTTGCTAAGCTTGGAGCTGGGGTAGAAACTCACCATCCATTAACAGAACTGCCTAAGAGCAGAACCACAACTCCCAGCATGCCTTGCTCCCGAACGCGTAATAGGACCCCCTCCCCTTCCCCACTGCCCAGAAACTACAACTCCCAGGAGGCCTCGCGGCGCCCCACCATCCGCTTTCTCCCGCCCCCGGCTGCCTCCCTCCCTCCCCCCGCCACCAGAGGCACCGTGGCCGGCTCGGTCCCGCGGCCAGCCGAGCGGGCGCGCGCGCCGGGGGTCGCGCGGCTGCCAAGGAGGGCGAGTGCGCGCCGGGAGGGAGTGGAGGCGTAGGGGGGCGGGGGTAGGGCTCGCCTGCTCGCAAGATGGCGGACGAGGACGGGGAAGGGATTCACCCCTCAGCCCCTCACAGGAACGGAGGCGGCGGCGGCGGTGGGGGGTCTGGGCTCCACTGCGCCGGGAACGGTGGCGGCGGAGGCGGCGGCCCGCGGGTCGTGCGCATCGTCAAGTCCGAGTCCGGCTACGGCTTCAACGTGCGGGGCCAAGTGAGCGAGGGCGGGCAACTGCGGAGCATCAACGGGGAGCTGTATGCGCCGCTGCAGCATGTGAGCGCCGTGCTGCCCGGGGGGGCGGCCGATCGGGCCGGGGTGCGCAAGGGGGACCGCATCCTGGAGGTGTGAGTATCGGGGCCACCCGCCGCCCCACCCTCCCCGGGCCCCTCCGCCTGTCCCTGCATTTGCCCTCCGCCCCTGTCACCCGCAGGCCGCACCCCCGCCCCGGGACCCCGACCCTGCAGGCCTCCGCTGCCCCGCACCTCCTGTGGGTGGACCCCCTCCCGGGTTCCCGCGGCTCCCATCTCCCTCGTAGCCTCCGGTTTAAGTCCTTGTGTACTTTTACCCCTGCCCACATGCCTTTGGCTGTTTTCTGCCCCTTTGCCTCCCCCCTTTTATCCCGCTGTTTCCTGCTCTCCCTGCCCCTCGCCTGCCTTATAATGAACGTCTTCTGCTCCTTATTGATGGCACCTCCTTTTCTGATCCGGCCAGTAGCGGGTCCTCCCCAAGTTCTCGTCTTCAGCGTCGTAGTTTCCTGTTCTCCGCCACTCCCCTCAGTCCCTGTGGACTGTCCCTTCTGCCCTCTAAACCAAGTAAGCAGAACCTCGGGTCTGCTCGCACTTTTGCTCTGGAAACACATCCCTCCCCATTCCACTCCTTTTTCTTAGGTATGTTTTCCTATCGTTAAGCACCCCCTGTATTTTCCCGTCTACCGCTTGTCCTTTGCTCTCCTCCTTGTGTTCATCCCCTGAAGAGTACGCCTTCCTTTCTGATCCTTGCTTACCTTTCGCAGGGAGGGCTTGGCACTAGTTTCTCTTCTCCCTAGAACCCGGTATTGCACCCTGATTTTGAATATATTGTTTCCATCAACATATCCCTCCGAATGCACCACACTTACACTTCTTTTGAGTCAGGTTGACGGTGAAGCTCTTCTAGCTCCTACTTCCGCCAAAGTACAGCCCTCTTGTGGGTCTTTGACCTCCACGCTTTTTAGGACATACCCAGCTACATTTTCTCTCCTCTGTGCTTCTGTGAGCCCACACTTCACTTTAGCTCATTGTTTTTCTGCTGTAGGCTACTTTCCTTATTCTGCTGCAACACACCCTCTTGCTGCTGCAGTTATCTACCCCCATCACACTTACTGCCCCACCGCATTCCTTAAGGCTTGTAGGATGTTGCCTTGTCTTGCAGTTTCTAGGTAGACCTCTCTCACTACCTTAATCTAGGTGTTACATTTGTATTTTTGTACTTTGTATTAAAATTCATATAGTGGTTGACTTGTAGGTGGTGTGTGCTGGCATTGTCTCCATTCTTCTTAGCAGTCTTCTCTTCTGTATTTGTCTTCTTATTGCATCTGTAGTGTATATTGTTTTTTTCCACATTTTTGTTCTAGCCCGTATGAAGTCTTTCTCATTTTAAAAACATTTTATCTCCATTGTAATTTCCACAACTACAGTTTTCCCTCTTGTAAAACTATACGTTCATTGAAGGTTTTCCAAAGGGGTGGTATCCTAAAAGTCTTACGGAGTCTATTCTTTCCCATATCTTGTGCCCCTTACCCTTTTATCCTTGACAGTCTTAGTCTGTGGCATCCACTCATTGTTTCCCCTTTTCTTATACATCAAGAAAGAGTAACTTGCTAAGTGTGTGTTTAGAGATTTTGTACCTCTTTTCTGTCCTTTCTGTAACAGATGCTTACTTTTCTCACTGTGTCCTACATACTGTTTTCTGGTACCCTCTGACAATATGTTCTTAGTCTTTTGGGGGCAGGACATTTAGGTATAGAATACAGTAAATACTTTTTTTGATTTCTTGTACCAGGACACCTAGTTATTTTCTTTCTAGATAAAATCTGAAATCTATTGCTAATATTTTCTTCTGATAGAAGCTCTTGCTTGGAGTTGTCATTTTTCTTTTCTTTTGCAAGTTAACTTTGGGTCTAACTGTTCATTTTTTTTTTTTGTTTTGTTTTATTTTGTTTTGTTTTTTTGAGGCAGGGTCTCGCTATGCAGTTCAGGCTAGCCTTAAATTCGCTTTATAGCTCAGGCTGGTCTTGAACTTGCAACTGTCCTCCTGCCTCAGCCTCCTGGAGTGCTGGGATTACAGGCATGCACCACTATGCCTGGCCTAGCTGTTTATTGTTAGACTTAAAATTATTTAGAATTATAAATTTATAAAGTGCCAAATAATTTATGCTTTATAGGCTCTAACACAACTAAACTAAGTAATTCTGTAGGAAACTACAGCTAGCCTAGTTGATGGCTCCTTTCCTTTATGGCATTTTGGCAGCCAAGCCCAAATATAAACTAGGTCCTGTAAAGGAGCTCTCAGATGATCTCATAGGACAGGGAAAAGAACTTGCCTCAGGCCCAGGTTTCAGGTTAGGAACCTGGGAAGACTTTTCCTTGTGTGGAAAAGGTGTTGCTTTTTGGCACTCCTCAGTGGTGAGTGGGAAACTGTGTCTTTGAGAGGTCATCATCAGCTATGTTTATTGGTACAACACACAGTAGATCATGTTAGCTGTTGGTCTCCTACAGAATTATTTGTTTTAGTTTTAGTTTAGGAAAAAAATGCTCTGCCTAGACGACCTCTCCCTTGAAAGTTGTGGTAATTAGAAATCTTCCTGGCATTGGTTGCTCACCCTTCTAGATGTATCTATTTTGATTTGCAAAGTCTTTAAAACTTCTCTAGTATTCTAGGGGAAGTTGTGATAGTTACAGCACAAAGCTGAGCTAATTGGTAGATTCTCTGAAACCTCAGTTAGGGGGTCCCTCTCTCCCTCCAGTCTCCTGGCCCTCTTTCCTCCATGCCTGCATCTTACCTCTTTCTCTCTGTCCCTCCTTCTTCCTTTTTTTTGTGGTGTTGAGGATTGGATCCAGGACTTTGCACATGCTAGGCAAGTGCTTTGCTATTGAGCTGCACCCCAGCAGAAAATGTGATTCTTTCGTTCTAACTACTTGTTTTGATCTGACCTGATTGATGCTAGTTTTCCAGAGGCATCCTTTAGGCAACACTCCTTAGAGCTTTTCTTTGTCTTTCACTCAAGTTCTCCCTGTTGTCCCAGTAAAACTTTGCTTGCTGCTGAAGTGCCCAGTGGGGTCAGAGGTAAGGATAGGTGGGTTATCACTGTGTAGATGTATCCTTTGTATCATGTGGATTTGTGAACCTTGATAATTGCTATTTAAGACTTTCCCGTATTTTAGACCTTTTACCTCTACATAAAAATTGTTTTTATTCAAATTTTTATATATTGTAGTTGCTTGGATGACTCATAAAGGTGTGAAAGAACAGAATAACTTTGAGATTAAGGGATTTACAAGCTTGGACACAAGAGCATCAGTTTCTTGGTTTTTTAAGAGTCTGAGGTCTGGGGATTTAGCTCAGCGGCACAGCGCCTGCCTGGCAAGCGCGAGATCGTGAGTTCGATTCCTGGTACCGGAAGAAAACCAAAAAAAAAAAAAAAAAAAGAGTCTGCTTAGCAAGACACTGATCTTACTGAATCTTGGAACAATCATTAAACTAAATTGAAGCTGGTGTGATTTAGTTTGTCTTTTCTCCCTCCAAAAACGACTATAAATTGTAAGATGCTTTGGAGAGAGTCACATTGCAGGGCTTGATACTGCAGTATGAGAAGCCCTCTGGGCTCCAAATTTTACTGCAGATGGAAAGTTTTCTTGACTGGCATTTTTAGTCACCATCTTACAATTTTTCCCAGTGTAAGGTACACTGTCTTCTCTTTGATGTGTATGTACCTGGAGGCCAATAGGTCCAAAAAAAAATAAAATAAATGTATTTGCACTAATTATATAGTATGGAAAGTAACTGGCGTCAAGTTAACTTTTTTAAGGTTGCAGTAGAGACCAAGTCTCACTTTGTAGTGCAGGCTGGCCTTAAACTCACTACGTAGCCCATGCTGGCCTCAAACAATGATCCTCCTGCCCAAGCCTTGAGAGTGCTGGGATGGCAGGCATGCACCACCTCACCTGGCAGTAACAAGGGCTTTTGATTGATTCCATGAGAGATGCCTTTTGGAGAGTTTCAGTGTGCAGATTTGGATTTGTGACTGTTTTTGAGGGATTAATCTGTTGGCTATTTCTTTATCTCTTTGGCATTTGGTAGTATGGTCTTTGAACATAGTTCCCTAAGGTTAGCTTGGAAGCATTCAAAATTACTGTATATTTATGCTGGCCAGAGAATATGTGCTTTCCTCCTTGATAGCAATCTGGTAATATACTGACCAACTTTCCCTTGTTAAACTATAAGATAAATAGGGAATATGTATATAATTGTTCATTGACAGTTTTTATTCTTTCTCTCTTTTTTTTTTGGTATCGGGAATCAAACTTACTACCCTGCACTTGCCAGGCAGGTCCTGTGCTGCTGAGCTACATCCCCAGCCCTGAGAGTCAGTTTTTAAACTTCATTTTCTGTGACAGTTTGGAAATAATTGAATAAAAAGAAGCTAGTGTCACAGGTATTTTTATAAGTTGTGTGAGTCATGTAACATTGACTGCTAAATACCTTCTCAAGAGCTGCTTTTGTAATTGAAACTGAATTCTATTTGGTTCAGATTTTCAGGTAGATTTTGATAATAGTATTTGAAATGGTTGTTGATCAAAGGAAATTTTTATGGCAGTGGTTTTCAAGTTTTAGTATGTATTAGAATCACTTGGTTGTGCTTGTTAAAAATATAGATTCTCAGGCTCACCTTTTAAGGGTCATGATTCAGGAGGTCTTGTGTGAGGCCTAGACATCTTTAATTTTTACTCTTTTGCCAGGTGTAGGGAGTGCAACCCACATACTGGGGCACATGCCCAGAGCAACATTACAGGTTATATGCCTGTATTCTTAATTTTATCATTATAGTTATACAGTATTGAGAGTCATGAGCTGAGACTATGAAAATAAATAGCAATTTTTTAGGGTCCTGAATACCAGCCTAAGTGGAAAATCAGTTAAGTAATAACTTTTCTATTTGATTATTTATACTTTATTTATTGGATCTTGTTAAGCTTTGGAATAAAGGTGGGTGGTTAAGAAGTAAAACAAGTAATCAGAATCATTATACCTCTATGCAGTGTGTGTGGTGTATGGTTTGTAGTGTTTTGCATTTGAATTTCATAAA